CACACTGACACTCTGTCACTATTAGCCCCCTGAGCAAACCCAAAACTCTCTCAGCAAGAAAGCCTGTCTTTCCTCAAGTGTGCATGTGTGTGAGTTTGATAGAACAGAGGCCAGCCAGCAGCGATGGAAGCATCACAAAATGCAAATTTTTGTACTCCCTGCAGTACTTAAGTAAACACTGGCCAGATAGGCAAATGTTGGATGTCCTTTGCAAACAAATCTCTTTATTAATGCAGTCACTAAGCTCTGAGGCGGCCACTGTCACCTCTGATTTAGTTATATCAATAAAATAATAAGAAGTGGACTTTTCTCAAAGTTGGACAAGCTTTGGTAAAACCTCGGAGTTATAGATCATATAGAATACAAGCAAGGTGCGAGACATCTACTCATGATTGCCTTTACCACATTTGAGTCCGTGTAATTTAACCCACAGCGGCCAGTTTCTGCATCTGCTGTTACATAAAGCTTATGCTAAATGGGGGTCCTATATCTGAGACAACTATCATCCAGCAGGCACCGTGCTTAAGAACTGGATGTTCCTTGCAGGCGGAGGGAAGGGCTTTGTTTGTTGAAACGCCAAACAAGCTAAATACATGCCATTAAAACAGGGGAAGACCACGTTCACATCGCCACTCAGCAGAACCCCGTCACAAATCCCCCCCCTTCTCATTTCTACATCTTCTGCTGACTAAAATGTTACCCCTATTTGTTTCCTCAGGGAGTCCACGGTGATGAGTCATGGTTCCTATTGTTCAGATCTGATGTGGATTTGGCCCATCTTTAAGAAACATGCTCATTTTATGCTCTGCTATACATGCAGGTGGATTCACAATAGACCAGGAACACTGCATAGTTCAAAAAGCCCACACTGAGGTGTTGTTGGGAAGGACAAACCCCCGAAAGATGTCATATCACTTCATCTCAGACAGCCTCTAAAGCAGCACAAAAACAGCTCTACACCGTGACCTTTTATTTAAATCGTGTGCTGTTTGTTATCTGTCATGGCATGTTACTATTTTAGCCCCAGATTCGTCCTTGTCTTTCGTCTCAGATAAAGAAGCACAAAAATCGGCCCGTTCAGTCATTTTCTATTTTAAAATCACATACATAATCACAGACCTCAATACAGACGTTGGCTGACGCTCAGTATGATGACAGCTAGCTGCAGCTGCATGAATATGACTGTCAGCTATTAACCACTGGATGATCATCTGTCAGAAAAACGAATATGGCATGACGAACTACAGGTTACCGTTAAATAAAGTCCTTAGCCGTTATGCAGTTGAAATTCAGCATTGAATGGTAAAAGATTCGACATTTTTCAGACCTGTGAAGGAACGTTGACACAACCTATTTTTTGTCAGAGGTCCCAGAATGCTCAGATATGACAATTTGCATGCTCCGGTAGCCACACTCCATTCTCCTGATTTTTCTCAAATCCATCTCCAGCCTGCGTGGACCTCTGGTCAGGTCTTTGAAGCTCCTAAATCACAAGGGAGCTGCCTGACCCACCAAATGTTAAACCCAACACCCCCAGTTTCACCATCTAACTGCTCACAGCATGCTAAATGGCAGCTTTGAACCTTGAACCGCTTCAATAACAACAGAGTCGTTTCTAACTTCAATTACCAGGGCAAGAAATTCCTTTAGTCCTGCTAAATGTGTGAGGAAAACCTAAAGGATGTGTGTCTGTGGGGATGTGTATGCAAATATATATCTGCAGTCAGAAATATTCATTACCAACTCAGCACTGTAACCTAATTCCTGAATGTGCAAACACCCTAGAGTAAGTGTTCCACATCTAATTAATCACTTCCATAAAGGGACACTACATGCTAAATATGAGTGCTTAGCATTTAGCTAAATCGATAACAATAACCCAAGTGTAGAAAAACAATTAGTTCAGCGAACTAACTCAGTAACGTCAGCTGCATGGTTGTATTTACCTGAAATTAGCTGCAGGTCACATCAAACCAACTAAGGCTGGAGCAGCTGAAAACCTGATAGCAACACAAATAGAATTCAAGATTCACTTAGGCAGCTGCTAATCTGTAAAGAAAACATACACAGGAACTACATGAACACACACTGCGACTGCTGTTTGCCTCGCCTGACGCAAAGACCAGCGAAAAAGCAGCTGACCTTTTCAGGGAGCTGGGTGGGAAATGGGTAACTCTGCGGTCGTGTTTACTGACATTGTAGTAGGATGCCACAATCTCTGCAACCACTGTAGTTCATTGTTTATGGGAGAGAGGGCTGACATCGTCCCTGGGCCCATTTTTACACTGTTGTGCTGTTGCTGTGGAAAAGGGCAAGTATGCTCCTGCGTTATTAATCAATACACTGTATATCCTCCTTTTCAGGAGCCGCTTAACACTTGTAAACAGACGGTCATGAATGCTTAACAGCTGTCTGGAATGAGGTTTATGACTTTGTCCAGCAGCTTTCACAGACATGGATGGATGTGTTAGATGAACATGAATATATAAATGAGCCTACAGGCCTCCATTTACGAGGCGCTTTGTGTGTCTTCAGTTGCTGCGCTGAATTGTGTTCTGTCAATGTTGGAGGTACAGCACAGTTCAAACAGCCTAAAGCGCAAAAGAGTGAAAAAATAAATACTTGAAATTGACATTTTAGATTTACCTTAATGGGATTTACACTCGGCAAAGCACTAAGGATGAATGCTAATATTTGCATCAGTGACACTTGAAGTCATCCTTGACAATCTGCCTGTAAAAGTATGTCAGCGGAAACAAGTGAGGGATAGGGCTTTAAGTTAATGGGTCACTAAAATATTTGCAAATGTAAAAACCGGGATGTGGTTTGTGCTTAAAGGCTCCCGACTGAGTTTTGTCAGTTGCTATGGAGATCAGCAGATGCTACATGGTGTGCATAAGTATGTAGTTTTGGTGATGTAGCAACAGATTATCACACATGTAGAGCAGAAATTGTTGATCACCTCAACCATATCCATTACAACTGAGCAAACTTTATCTTCTAGTAAAAGCCACAACATGTCGCAGAGAGCAGCAGATTGTGTTTCAAACAGGTCTTGTTCGTTTTTTGTCCATTCCTTAATACATGCTTGAGTGTTTTCATTTTACTGGATGAGGTTCGAAGGAATGGTTAGATACTGGCAACATTTTTTAAGCAGAAAGATCAATACAGCTCTTTTACCTATCAGCCCATAAAGCATATAGCGCATAGCTTAGCATAAAGTCTGGTAATGGAGAAAAGCAGGCAAGCTATCCACAGGTTACACAATCCACCTACCAGCACCTATAAAGCTCCCCAGTTTACACACTATATCTTTGTTTAATTGTGTAAAAAAAAAGAAGAGAGATTTAAAACACCATCGCCCTGTTTTACGGGGGGTTTTGTGCCGGGCTATTTCTTGGCTGGGAACAGTAACTTCCTGGACCTTCCATTGGTTGCCTGGCAACTGCTCCCAGTCAAGAAACAGTCTCTTTGAAGGAAACGAAAACGCACGTTTCCCAAAATGTTTAACTATTCCTTTAAATCACACTCGGAACTCACTTTTGTGTGGAGCTTAGTTAACAGAGGGAGCAGACTTAAAACAAACTGTCAAGTACTTGAAAAGGAGGAAAAGGCTCAGTGCACAAGTATAAACAAATCTATGCAGGGTTGTCAAAATGCATTAGCATGAATGTCATTTTGAAAATATTTATATGAATGTCATCTCCGGTTTCATATCCACCAGCCTTACAGATGCCTTGAGTATTGTGTGACCTTAGTCTATCAGCCTGTGTATGGTTACTCTCAATTACACAGTCTGCTAGTGGCAGAGATGGCGGTGGTCTTTAAGTGGATGAAAGCAAGGGGTTTCCAAAGCAAAAGCAGAGTACAAAGAACATTAATTGAAGTAATCCACCTAAAAAGAAACAACAGTATTAAACAACACTACCCACCGCTAAAAGGAAGAGAGCTTAGCTTACTTAACTTTCAGATGTATCAGATAATACCCAGTTCAGTCAGCTGAGATCAAATAGCCCTGAATTACACATACGATATCAGACACTATTTTTTTTTCACATTGGCTGAAACAGAAACAAAGATAAACAGATTTTGAATGGAACTACTGGCCACATACTGTCTACGTACGCCTACGCATACACATTTACATTCAAATATAGACCTGTGTCTACATGCCGGATACAACACACACCCACAAAGAGAGCTGCATTTACACATTCACACAGACAAGTCAGCCACTTAAGTATTTTCCTCTGAATACCCAAGCCTAAACAGAAAGACAAGTCGCAGATAAGCCTCAGACCTTCTGCCTATGTAAAAATATGTATCTGCATTGTCCCTGCTGAAACAAAGAAACTAAAGAAAAGTGTGTACCTTTAATTAACGTCACTTAAGGCAACCACCATGTACAAAAGCCTGCTAAATGAACAACCAATCAATATTGCCTGGTTAAAAACAGATGCAAATAGATGGAAATCCTCCTCTCATTAGGTTATGTCAATACAGTTTAAGAGGGGGGTGGGGGGGTCACCTGTGGCCTTCTGGCAATGATCAGCATGGCTCCAAACACATACCAGTGTAAACAGAGAGCACATCGGTGGGTTGACTTTATCATCACTTGAATAAATGCGGTGCTACTCAGCATACTACTGCTGCGTGTGTATGGATTTATCTATGCAACATCCTTGGTGACACATGACATGCACCATTACAGTAAATCCTACTCTTGTCCTCAGTGAAGATGCAGCCTGCATTCCTGTCATGTCATGCATTCCTCAGCAATGTACAGAGGGGGAGAGGTGAAAGGAAAGAGAGAGAGAGAGGAAAAAAAGGTGACTGTCGACATAAGATGCATCACTTTCCATTAAGCTCCTGCGCAGGAGGGGTATTCCTCGGCTTTCCCCGAGAAAGCCACAGGGAACGAGAAGAAGGGGGGGGAGGCAATACTGTCCATGCGTAAATAAATTGGAGACACTTGTATATCCGACATGGATTGCGCTTACCTGTGGTGGCTACATTGTCAGCATCAGACGAGTGGCTGGCTAGATCATTCGAGTAAGTGCACTCCAAGCCCAGTACCGCATAGATGACGAGTCCACGTAGCAATACATTCAGTACCTTGTGGATGTAACTCATGGTGGAAAAGGAGGTGGAAATCTTAGTAATTCGTATCCAGTGGTGGGTTAAAACGCTGGGGCAATCCCGAAAAATACCACAACAAAAAAAAAAGAAAAATCTCAGGTTCAGTCTGTACAACACAGCAGCAATATCCAGCCAAAAATAAAATATTAATAATAAAAAATCTGTCTTTCTGAGTGGTGTCACGAGAAAATGCACCAACTTCAAAAAAAAAAAAAAAAAATCCCCGCAGTACACTTGTTTGCAAACCCTACGAGCTAACAGCTAAAAAAAACAAGAGCTGGCACAAAATCTTACAGGAGCGTGAAAAACACCTACAAAATAATAGTTCATGGTGGGTCAAACTACTCTGAAAGAAGACCCCGTTTTAAAAAATATACTAATAGTCTCTAATGGCTTTACCGGCTGTTTGAGAGGGATGACTGCTGCGAGCTACAGCAAGCAAGCACCCCATATCTAATTTTATAAATACAAAAAAATGTGTATCAGCTAGCAAAAAACGACCGTGTGGTGGCAGCTGGAAGAGAAGCACATGCAGCCCTATCTGAAGGAATTCCCTGTCCAAAACAAAAACACACTGAGAGGGGAAAAAACCGTAGCAGCTCTTCAACCGTGGGTATCCGTGAGCTACCGGTGATATCAAAACGCTGTATTAAATCCTTACGTGGAGCTGTGAGTTGGAAGAAAACAGTCTCTGTACTTCCAGTGTACAAACACCGGGGACAGCTTCAGCATGTTGAACTCGTAGCGTCTCATAGGTCCGCCTCTTCATACGAAAGTAGCAAATCCCATTGCATCAAAAAGAGGGAAAAAAAACAACCAGAGCGTTTCTTCTTCTTCTCCGTCCTCTCGACACCAGCCTGGGTCCTTAGGTGAAGTTTTTAAGTGAGCTTCTCATGGCTCGGAGTGATACAGTATCCTCCTGTCATATCAGCTGCTCGCCGGCTGATGCAGACCAGCAGGGAGGGAGAGTCGAGCCGAGCGGGGCGGAAGTCGGTATGCAAAGCGGGGCTGACATCACGAGGAGGAGACTCTAATTTGGCCTCCGGACTACCGCCGCCACGTGCAGGACGCCACAGCCGGCGTTTGTTTTTGTTTTTCGGGAATTTCACTGAGGCTTGTTAGGGTGCCGGGCATTACTTCCTGGCTTCCCCCCTCCTCCTCCTCCTGCAGAGTTAACCAACACAAACTGAAACTCACCGGAGGCGGGTGTTGCACGCCAGCTGTGGTAACAGCTGGATAACCCTCCAGATAAACTTGGCGTTTGTTCCTGCCATGGTGCCACCGGGGATGGGAGTAATACACCTCCTTTGTTCTTCACCTCCCACTCCGGCCCATCCAAGTTTTCCTGCTCTCTGAGCGCTCTCATTGGCTGGACTGTCCCAACATGGCAGATTCTGATTGGCTGCCCCGCACAGTCCCTTCGTTTTTTGTCTTTTAAAGCTACTTAGCGCGGGGAATACGGTCACGTTAAAGGGAAATACCGACGCGTTTCTCACAATTTCATCCATTTTCTAAGCATAGAGAACAATTTCCAGCCTCTTGAAAAAAAACACCCTCTACAACCACAACTGTAATAATAAAAACTAAAATAATTGGTGATCAGTATTAACAAAACCACAAAGTTAGAATTAGTTTTTTATTCCTAAATGTACCAATAAGAGATCAAATGTACCAATAAATGAGTAAAGTTTGTATTTTGTGTCATTTAGACCTTTGTGTTTGAACTTGCAGGGTGCAATTCAGGATCTCAATGCATAGCTTTTTAAATAGATTATTATCCTTTGCACATCCCAAGTTATTTTCACCATATACTATGTAATTTGTCGTTATTTATAATCCCTTTGACTTACTACTCTTGCACTTGTAACGCTTACATCTTGTTTCTTCCTGTAACACCTACTGTCCTCCGAATCTTGAAATCCTCCTTTAAAAATGTTCTATTTGTCAGATTTCAGTGTTATGCGTCAAAACACTACATCAGATTCCTTGTATATGAAAACCCACTTGGCCGTAAAATCTGATTCAGATTCTGGATCCATTGTCCCATTCTTGTTTCTTCTGTCTGGGGGCACTTTGGCTCAGCACCTGTTGCAAGTTTGGGATGTATTTGACTATTCAAGTTTTATTGCTTTAAGTATTTTACCTTATTTACTAATATTCACAGTTTGTATGTGTGCATCTGTAGTCCTTTTGTTTTAACTGCATCTTAAGTGTTGTAATGCTGCCTTTTGGGGGGGTACTGCTTATTCTTTGTCAAAGAACACAAACCGCATTAAAAAAAAAAAAAAAAGGAACTCACAGTACATTTCATATCCCTTCCCTGAGTAAAAAAAAAATGTGAACTTCAAGTTTTGTTTGTTTTAAAAGTCAGACTTCCCATAGTGGATCCCTGGGACGCATCAGGATCATCCCATGCAAACTGAGTTTAAGATAAATAGATTTGAGTATAATTTCATCAGAGGGCTATATGCTCCCTTGTGTTAAAACAACAGGTGAAGATTTCCTGTCAAGGCCCCAACAAATACAAAGATGACAACAAATGCCAGGATGGTTGGATAAAGGAAGATCAGTTGCAGAGGACATTCATTTGTTGTACTGGAACAGATATCCAGAGGAAACTAAGTGCAAGCACTGACCTTCTGACAGTCCTAACCTCACCTGAAGTTACATATTTCTCCAGGTTTGCAAGGCAGTGCTGACGTTTTGTTCTTTATTGCTACTAACAATCAGCTGTTTAGACTGTCATGCATAAGTCAGAGAGATTGGTCAAAACAAATGTGATTAATGGGAATGCTTCCACTGGGAAACCTTCCTGTGTAGACTCTGTGTAAACACCAGCTCTGAAGAAAACGGTACATTTTGTCCACGTACAGTATTTCAGTTTATAACTTTTAGTGACTACTGACCCGGTTTGGGATCATTTTATGAAACAGACTGCCAAAACTCAGTCTTTTTTTTCTAACATACTTTTTAACTGAATGTACTGGGAATCAAAGGTGTGTGTCGACAGGTTTTCTGTATGTCAGTACCATGCTACTGCATATTAAACTACACCGTTATTTTTTGTATAAAGTTCATATCTAACCCTCCTTGCACCATACACAGAGTTGTTTTAGAGGATATGGTTTAAAAACCTCACCCCTGAATTGAGTCATTTCATATCAACAGGACCATGGAGCCAAAACATCAAACAACACGCTACTGTGCAAACGCTTATTAAGCTCACTGTACTTGATACGGCTATCAACAAGAAATCTTTCAGCGATGGCCAGCTGCAGAGTGTTGATGGAAACAAGGCACATTGCCTTGCAATGCAACACACTGGCCACCAGGAGGGACTGCAGTAGGAGTCAACTGCTCAGCAGGTAGTAGTCTCTGGAGAAACAGACTCATGGGGGCCAAAGGAGGTGCATGACTGATAAAAGAGTCAGCCGTGGGAGTCTTAGTAAACAGGTGGCAGATGTAGCAGAAACCAGCAGAGGGAGAGACGAAAGAGAAGAACAGCATAATTCGATACGAGCCCGCGGAGGGGGCAGCAGGGAGGAAAGCAGCCAACAACGAAGGAGGAATAGAGCAGATGCTACATGTAGGAGGAGGGCTGGGGGGGTCAGTAAAGTCCCTCAGTGCTGCCTCCTGTCACTTACCCATTCTGCCTTCTCTACACATGACTACGGAGAGCTTCTAGAGTACAGTACGCCTTGTCCAAATATTGACCCTGTCACACAACCTGAGAGAAAGGAGTAGCAAAGATCAGGCAGCCGCACACTGAAAGAATACTGACAAGAAAACATGTCAGCATTCAAAAGTTGAGGTTGAGCATGATTTTACAGAATAACCTGGAAGAAGACGTTCAACAAAACTTCATTTTATTTAAAATGTGCTATTTTAGGCTGCAGCAAAACATGACACATTGACATTGATTGGTAAAGAATACTGTTGACTATAAAATAATAAAGAAATGGATCTGACTTCAGTTGAAATCACAAGCGACATATGAGGTATTTTAAAACATTACAGAACAGGTGAAACATTCAGGAATTAAATACATATTTTAAAATTAAAAGCCAACCAATCTTCGCAATGATAGAAAATAAATATTGGCACTGAAGGTGCTAAATGTCCCTTAAGAGTGCAGTAATATGCTATTCCTCCATAAATACAATAAACTGTGTAAGTACACAGCAGCTTCTGATTATATGAGTAACAGTGAAATTCACTTTGTGGCTTTTCCACGATTTCTTTCAACATGCTGGCGTAGAGTAGCACTTCCAATCTTCACAGTCATCAGCAACAGCATTATCTAATAGCGTTATAACAAGTAGGGGCCACAGAGCAGAATAAATTGCAAGAGCTAATTAACACTTCATTAGCCAAGCTTGAAGACATTACTGTTGTTCTCTCTCGCATACTGCTATCGCAATACAATTACTGCTTCGTCTCCTAATGAGCTTCTCAGCTGATCCAAGCACTGCTGTGAGTATCAGCTTCCCTGCAGAGCATATGGCTTGAGGAGGCTAGCTTAGCCTTACTGGTCTATAGGCTATACTTACTTACTGTATAATATCTAATAACATGATACAGGATATTCACTATTTATGGTGCATACATGCTAAAGATGGGTTTGGCTTTTTGCTTGAACCAGTGCAAGATGAATTGTGTAATGTCCTCTGTTATTTCTTGATATCCCACATATGAGTCTCCCGTTTTTTATTGAGTGATTAGTCAAGTTAGTGTGGTTATGGCATAGCAAAGTGGCATTCTTCTAGTGTAACACAATCTTTCTGGTTGTATGTATGTGCCACGACCGATTCCGCCGTCTCAGCATTCTTCAGATGGCAGTGGCAAACAGAAAGATCTGGATGAGTGGCATGACCTTCAGAGTTGAAAGGTCGGCGAGGACAGCCTGCAGTGTGTTTGTCAAAGAAAACACAAATAAGATTTGTCATCTAAATCCACACCTCTCCTGACCAAAGCAAATCTTACCATAGCCCACCAAGCCCCTGGGAAGCCATAAAGCACACCCTCCCCCCTTTCTCAAGAGACATATTTCAAGATTTAAAAAAAGAACCACGCAGGACGACATGCATAATGATGATGCAGGATCCTTGGGAAGCGACAATCCATGCCTAAGAGTACACCGCTGCCCACCCTGTCCTTTTGGGATCGGTGGGAGATTAAATTTAGGGACCCTATCATGTTTAGAGAGAGGGTTTAATATTTCAACGCTGGGCCTGAGGTTCTAAATATAAGATAAGGAGCAGTGTGTTATGATATCTTCTCTCTACTGGGGCAGGTGGTAAATGAGCAAGCAAACACTGCTGGCCATCATCTTAGACCAGCAGATCTGCCCCATGTCGCCCCATGCGTCATATTGTAGTTTAACCCCCTCACCCTCAGGAGAAGAGGGGGTGAAAAGGGGAAAGAGTAAGGCGAGTCATTATATCAGCTACTCCTGGTTTCAGTCATATGATAGTGGGACCACCTTAGGAGAGTGGGTGCAGTATACAGTAAAGGCATGCGGCAGAATTGCGATACTAGTTACTGTAATAATGCAACATGAGTGACAGTGCAGAAGGTACCATGGGTTGTAGTCATTACTCTTCTAGTTGTTTCCTTGACAAATTTGCATGACATGAATTCAAAGTCAGTCTGCAGAAAAAGACAGCAGCTGATTTTTATCGTGGCTGAGCAGTGAATGGATTTAAGAAGAAGCCTGCTCCTTCTAAGCGGTGTTGGGAAATGGATGCAGAGGAATACTGGTGAGTGGTGGCGGGAGGGTACACAGGGCGGGGTAAGAGGGTGAGGGTCTTAAGTGTCGGGTTTTGTCAGACATGTGCATTCAGAAGACTGGGTTACTGGTACTGGCTGGTCATTAGCAGCTATTTATGTGTATGTGGGGGGATATGGACAGGACAAAGTTTCAAACACACACACACACCAGAAACCGAATGTGAGACTGACATACCTCTGCTGAAGCCAGCGACGTCACTTCCATCAGGTTCTCAGCGCGGAAGGCAAATACAGCAGCTGCTAGAACTGAAGGAGGACGAATAAGACAGTAGGAAGAAATAATAGGACAATCAAAGGAAGGAGATAAAGATAGAAAAGGATAAGAGAAGCATGACGAATGAGAAAATGTGTCTGTACAAATATCAAGGCTTGCACTGGAGTGAGTGTAATATTTGCCTACCTGCAACAACCTCCAGTGAATCATACCCAAGGATTCGATCCCAAAGAAGCAGCAGCTGATCAGTAGAAAGGTAGCCAGAAAAGGCCCGTACCATCCACTTAAAGGCTATACGCAAACTGAGGACAAAAACAGCACATCTGTTTGTAAAGAGATCTACGATAAGTCCAAACAATTCTCTGAAAACTGACTGTGGCAAATCAAATTAAATGTGTTCCCCAATCTTACCATTATATTACTTTCAAATACAACTTATTGGTATGTAAATAAACCATATCTTGTACTATGCTAATCGTTAGGTTCCTTTAAGGCTGGCAATGGTACTGTGATTTCAGTATTTCAACACAAGATGGCAGTAGCTCACAAGTATAAGGCTGCAAAAAGACTGCAACATTACAAGGATAACATCTATGTGCAGGATGTATGGAAAACAGTGTAGGACTCTATACGATAAAACAACAGCTTAACATAGAAATACAACTTTAAATTACTGATGCAAATAGAAACACACAGAGCAGAAAAAAATGTAAAAAGATGAGAAGATAGATCTTCTGCGGTCACTTGTGATGCTGCATAAAGGGCCAAGATGAAAATATGATGTGACAAGGTTGAAATGCTCTATAAAATAAAAAATAAAAAAAAGACAGTCATACTGAGCCTGATCCAAGAAAAGGAAGTTTCTTAGAAGCAGAAGAACAATTCATTCTGAATAGCAAGTTTCCATGGCAATGAAAACTGGTCATATAACACTTTCCCAGTTTATGGGAACTGTGCTTAGTTTCACCAATACTCTGTGGACTAAAATTAAAGTTACTGTTTCTTGTAGTGACTAAAAAAAAGTCCCAGAGCAGATGGTTTTTGCGTTTAGCTGCATGTTCTGTTCCAAGATTTTAGTTGAACTAAAGATGTGCAAATTACAGTGAAGGACCACAGAACATCAACACATGCACTTTCACTTTTGCAAATGCTTTGAGTAGATACATATTTAGCTTCAGCAGGTGAATGATTCTTCTAAGCCTGTCTTAAAGTAATGTTGATGACACATGATGCTGGTGAGCTACAGGACCACAAAGGCAGGAGGATAAAGTAGTGCACCGGGTACTCACGGCTGTGCACCGATCTGTCGAAGGTGGTAAAACAGCTGCGGCAGGTGAGTCTGGAGCAGCCGCTCAAACTGCAGGCACAAAGCCACTATACCCTGCAGGAGCACAACCATGTAAAGTGAAGACCGATAAACAGACGCAAACATAAAGATCGAAAAATTTTGATCTTGCAGAATCTCACCGAGGGAGAGGAGGAGATGGAGTGCAGTCGGAAGAAGTAGCGAATGTACATTTCCCTGAATACGCTGTACAGTTTGGACGGCTCATTGTACAAGAAACACAACGGTGCCACTGTGGAAAAAAAGAAAACACACACACATCAACAAAATCACACACTTTCTGTTCTATGTTGCTCATAACATTCCTTCTGGACAAGTATTGAATGTTATCCAATGAGAAAGATACTCACCATACATTGAAAATCCATGAAAAGGGATGACACCTATTGAAATGAGATTGTGACATCAGTGCATTTCCGACACATAAACATTCATCATGTTATTGATGTAGCTAAGAAACACTTATTTTAGCGTTCCATGTAAAACTTTCATGTATCTGAACCAGTAAGACAAAACATTCTACTTCTGCTGTTTATTATTCAACATGAATCTTTCCCCACTGTATGTTTTACTGTCACACAAAATAATTGAAAACTATTTCATGATGATCTTTAAACGAATATATCAAATAATGTGACGTGAATGTCAAGATGCAGGCTCACCATTGGGGGGATAAACAACAGCACTCTCCTCATCTCCTACTTTCCCTGCGAGACATATACACAACGGTATTCATTACCAAGATTTAGCGCACCATGTCTGGTTTTCTAATTACCATCCACCCATCTATAAGCACAGGCGTCTGCGTGTGAGAACATATAAGCATCACGCAAGGTCATCATAGTGAAGTGCTACTCCTCTGAGTGATGAGCTGAGGTGTGTGTAGATGTACATGTCCTTGGTGAAGGGCTCGTCATCTCACCCTGGATGTAGGATTTGGGAGGAGTGGCACTGTTGTATTTGAAGTGCTCCAAGACGGCGGTGTCTCGGGAGAAACACAACAACACCTGAGAACACACGGGGTTTGTGTTAAATACTGCTTCCAGACACACACAGACACACACATTCACTTGGATTGACTAAAAATAAGGTTAATTGATCAAAGTTCACAATGCTCAAATACCATCTGGAATACTGCAGAAACACACTCTCCCTCCTCTCTCACTCTCTTTCTTTCTGAGACATTATATGTTTTACATGTTAAACATGTAATAGTATCCTTGCCTGACGACAGGAGATAAGGCAAACAATAGCCAACACTGTTATTTGTTCTGATGCTGGTGATGGCCTTGAGTGGCCTCGCTTCCTCTTGGGTAAGATTTCTATTAAAGCAGGCCACCTAGAGCCAGCGTTGGAGGATGTAGTGAAGCAGACAGTAACCGAGCCTCGAGTGGCTCCTTGTTTCACAAAATGACCATGTAAGTAGGAGCTCTTTCCATTACAGTCCAATTTCTGTGTCTTTTTGAGAACAGATTTCATTTCCAATGTCTACTTGAGATGAATTACACCTGGGGAAAAATCATCTGTTCCGGAAAAAAACGAAACCAGCGGCAAATCATGCAAGCTCTTTAATGGGAAAATACCAAAAATGATGACAGCTGAGGACTGGAGTGTAGCATGTGTCTAGGTTGTATCCTGTTTGACCTTTGAGATTACTTGCTGGGTACAAAACGAGGGGAGCGTATCCTTGTAGTTGAAGTGTTTTCTGTTAGATAGAATGATCCAAAACCTTTTATTCATCTTTGCAAATCAGAAAAAAAGTAAGTATAATTTGGCTGATTTAATTTATTTATGTTATAGGTCAGTGTTTTGTTTTGTTTTTTTTAAAGTAAAAGTCTACAAGACGGGGCTAATCAGGTGAGAACTTATCTATTAACTGAATTTTCAGCACTGAACGCTATTTATTTGTATAAATCTAAATGAACGCACCAAAAATGGATAGAGGATAGTTTTTTCTCAACCATTTCTAGAAAACTACCCTCCACAAGTGCTCTGAAAAACATTCTATACCCGCTGCTTACATAGCTGCTTAAGAACATCTTTGTGAATACTGGCCTCCCTAAATAAAAGTGAATTCTTTCACTGCCTAGTGAGTTTACCATTAGTCAATATTGACAGGGACACTGGTGCTTTGTTCTTGATACACCTGTGTACTCAATGGTCGGCCACCAAGGAGCATGATGGGCTCGCAGCTGCTGAATAAACCAGTTGCCGTGTGTACTGTAAATACGTGTTTATCAGCCGAGTAGTGACTACCAGAGAAGCAAATAATGTCGGGTCATATCCTGGGCAGAATACGGCATGATAGATAAAGAGGAATGCCGTCATACAGGAGGACTTTTCACGAGGATAAGGAGTAGCTAGCCAGTGGGGAAAAGTAAGCGGCTAAAATTTGGGCCATAAAATCTTGTGTCCTCGTTCTAATGCCACTCTTCCATCATATACACTGATCTTATAATTGTGTTATTTCAGTGGGATGCCTACTAAACAAAGGACAATTAGGCCTCTTGTGCATTTTAGCCCACACAGTCTGCAAATAGAGATTAATATTTACAACCACGCATATTTCTGACTGATCAGAGCATTTTGTAATTAGGACTCATTTAATAGGACTTTTTACTTTTTAGCTGTACGGGTTATCAAGACATGCAACAATGATGGCTAATGTATTGTTCAATTAAAAATATAAATCCAGTCTTAATCAGTGAAAATAAACAAGGTTATTTGAAGGAGAAACAAGTTTTTATCCCCATGTCTTATCTAGCCTATCTGCTTTTTAAAAAAAATAAGATTATTTATAGAATAACAAAAAAAGTGAATCACTTGGCTCCAATTGAGTGAATATACTGAATCAACTCAGCTTCTATTCATCTCCTGCTGTAAAAAGCACAATGTATGTAAGGATAGTTCATTCGTTCATTCATCCAGCCCATCAATGTCTGTGTGATATATCTGGAACATTTTTAATGTTTACTGCACACCTGACAAGTTCCTGCCACTGGTGTTTCCTCTGAAGTAACCCATCAAATAACACTGCCCGCTGTCTGATACAACGATGATTTTTGAAATATATAAACTCACATTTTCATTGTCATATGCACAGTAAAACTTTTTTTCAAGTTCACAATAAAAGTAGTGGATGTATTAAATTGGTGTGTGAGCTCATTTGAGAGTTTGGAAACCTCCCCTCTGCTAAAAAAAAAAAAAAAAAAAGGAGATCTCATATTACTGGATAAAGTTTCACCTATGTCAAAGTGCTTACTTCTTTCAATTTATCTTAAAAAACAACTACTAGTACAGTGAATAATGACAGGAGCTGATCTGAGACAAAAGAACCCACCTGATAGAGGAAGTCTTCAAACACAAAGTAGTAGTCATCATTACTGGCGGTGAGCTTCACATCCTGTTGGGCATTTGGAATTTATTTCAAAATGATAAAAAAAAGAGATTAAATGTTCCAGCTTATCTTAACAGCTACCGTGTCAACAAGCTTACCTTATAGATAAGGTTGTCTACCAGCAGGTCATGCTGTATGACTCCAGCCTTTAGCTGTTCGTAGTGCATCACATCCTGAAATGGCAGAGACCCAAACGGTTAAAGTGAGCAATAACTTCCACAGGAGCACATCAAAATTGCAGCATGTGATTAATTAAACTGCTGACAAAATGTCAACAAAGTGTGTGTTAATCCTATCATGCAATTTTCTGGACAATTTTTTTAAATAAACATATTTCATAAAAAGGTACCCTCATTTTTGATGTAAAAAAGAAATCCTCAGCCTCTTTACGGATGTTTCTAAATCAACTTACTACATGGTCGCTGACTGTGATGACAACATGATTAAGCACAACTTTATAGAAGGGTATCGTGTTTCCGACCACATGGTTAAACTCAGACGGGCCTCCGGTTTGAGACAGGTTATCATAAATGAACCAAAGAACAGGCAACAGGGGTGGACGCAGCAATAAAAATGTCCTCTGTGACAGCTGTGAAGCACCTTGGCAATGATCAGTGCAGCGGATGTGAGAACAGAAACAGAGATGGCCGTTTTGACAGCTGAGAGAGGACACTGAAGCCACTGTGGTAATATGGATAGCATCAATGGAAGAGGTTCTGCTAAAATATGTACTTATATCTCGCTGGTATTAAGTGGAAACATGGGTTCAAAGCAGTTCACTTTCTACGCTGTATTCCTACAGAATAAAGCAGCTCTGAAATGGGACACAACACAGTGTTGAGTACAGTCTGGTAAAACTTTATCAAGTTTATCAACCAAAGATTTGATAAACTTTTCAAAGTAAACATTTGAGGGCTACAGCTATAGATGCAACAAGGCTGGATAATTAATATTTATCAAAGAGTCATTTGACTTCAGGAGTTACTCGCTTTTATTTCAAGTCTTTTCAAAATGTTTAAACGAGACACAAAATGCAGGGAATTTTGTCAAAAACAGCGATGGAATTTACTGCACTTCAGATCAAAATAAAGGTACTTCCCTGCTAGCTTCTACTTCTACTCCACTTCATCTCAGGGAAAAATATTTTGTTTGTTGCTTCACTAAATTCATGTCAGTCTATTTTATTTGACATCTGAAGTTACAAGTTACTTTACAAATCAAAATTGTTGCACACAAAATGTATGAACGACTTATCATATGGTGCTTTGTACCGTTAAAAACGATTAAATCCATCCATCCATTATCTATACACTTCTTAATCCTCACTCGGGTCGAGGGGGGCTGGAGTCTATCCCAGCTGACTCAGGGTTAAGACAGGGGACACCCTGGACAGGTCACCAGTCTATCACAGGGCTACACTTAGAGACAGACAACCAAGCGCACTCACATTCACACCTACAGACAATTTAGAATCACCAATTAACCTCAACATGTTTTTGGACTTGTGGGAGGAAGCCGGAGAACCCGGAGAGAACCCACGCTGCACGGGGAGAACATGCAAACTCTACGTAGAAACCCTGGGTGTCCTCACCGGGACGTGAATCAGCGACCTTCTTGCTGCAAGGTAACGATGCTCACCACCGAGCACCCTTGCAGCCTCAACGATTAAATCATGAACTAATTTTTCAACTGAGAAAATATTGGCAACTATTTTTCATAAACGTTTAGAGCACCTGTGATGACATTTCTGATTATTTTCACAAATTTTACAAACCTAACAACCAACCAATCAATTAATTAATTAATCAATCAATCACTAGTCCATCATGAAAACAGTTATTAGTTACAAAATAGTTTGAACTAAGCTTTAAAACAACCAACTATGACAGTAAAACCTGTTTTTATAAATCATACAATACATAGTAGTATATTATTCACTGGGCACATTTTTCTGCATTGAGTATTTTCACTTGTAATACATAAGTGCAGTTTTGTGGTAATACTTACATACTTTTACTTTGATAACATTATTCAATGCAGGACTTTTACTTGCAACAGAGTACTTTCACAGTGTGGCATGAATCTGTTTACTTAAGTAAAGAATGCAAATATGTTCTTGATCACTGCTCGAAACTCACACTGTCATTAGCCAACTCTGATTGCATAATGTGTATGCCCTCGTGGTGTCCAGAGCCATGCTAACACTCTCCAGACCTCAGTAAGTTCCCTGTAACTCTCCCTAACGAATCAATCCTCCGATCACCAGCACTGTTTTATCGACTTAGCCTCAACATGAGCCTCTGGACTCCAGCGTTTACACAGGGCTTTGCCACACAGGCAGGCAGCTGTTTGGGCTAACTATGCTAAAGCATTTGATTATCTTAACATTTGTGCTCTCTGGACAAGCCACAGCAAGCTAAGACAAATAGCACAGCAGCAAATACACAGATCATGTAGAAATTATAAGTCTGCTGCTGTTATACATCATATGTTGGCTTTTACACCACAGTGTAAATGCTCGGACATAAAATGAGTTGTGCTGGCAGGATTCTCCGCTGAAACAAACACACAAGAGGCCCCCAAAAAGTCTGGAGCTTTAGCTATGAACATAGCTGCAGCTGAAAACTTGAGCTTGTAGTAAACATGCAGTTTGGGAATCACTGCAGCTGTGTGTGCTTTACAACCAACACTGGCAGCAGCCACCAGAGTGCAACTGAACCATGCATGTGTGTGTCTGTGTATACGTATCACACAGCTGTACCTGCGGCTGGTTGGTGGAGTTGAGGATGAGGGCCCACAGGTCTGCCCGGAGCCCGGTGGAGCAGCCCTGCCTGCTGTACTGCTGCGCTGCTGCACTGTCCTGCTCCGCAACCACTAGACAAGACAGAGACAGAAAAAATGAGACTCAAGTGAGAAAGAGTGGTGAGAAGAGTAGTGAGAAGAGAGGTGTTTGCATGAAACGGCTGCTTCATTCTTTTTGAGTCTTTATGCTATGTTAAGCATCTCCTAGCTCCATCTTTTTAAAGGCATTGATCTTCTCATCGAATGCAAAGGAAAGCAAAAAGGATATTGCCTACAATGTATCCAACTCTAAGTCATTTATCAGGGAGAAATCCCCCAAAAATCACTTGTTTAAGCTTTTCAACCCTGGATTATTATTGGAAATTAAATATTTGAGGATTTTGGACTCTTAACCATACAAAACTAGCCATATTATTATTGGATCCTGAAGAAACGCTCTCTCATCTTGCCTGTACGACTGTGTATGTACAGTAAAATGACAATAAACTTGATTTGATTTGATATGAAGAAATCTGCTGTGTGCTCTGGAAAACTGTGACTGTGATAGACCAAACTATTAAGAGCTGAATACAGAAAGTAGCTGCAGAAATATCCAGTAAGTGTGATAGTAGCACTAACTGGTACAACTTCACTGTTACTGCTGCAATACAGTTTCACCATTACCTATTACCTCATGTTTGTCACTTGTGACCACTGTAAATTAAAAACCAAAGTCTCACAACCAATGACTGGAGCAGCAACAAATTGCCAACCAACCATGCAACTGACGAACATAAAACAGCATCATTGGTCGATATTTTACTTTTAATAGTTTGATCAATGGTCTCCATGAAGACTAAATTTGACTAAGTGCAACTTAGACTGGCTTCATTAGTCTGGCAATTCTACCAGGTATTTGAAAAATAAGATAAATTTGCAATTTATTAAAGTCTCTTCCACGGAAATTCCATGTGGAGAAAAGCAATCAAAATACTTCAGTACCTCATCAATCATTGGAAGGGTAACATAGTTGGCTGTTACTGAAGCAGAGAGAGCGCAGGAGCATTTAGTAATTCAATCACCACTCACTTAGCAGTCTGTTTGTGTGATTTATTTATTTATGTTATTATTATTCTTTCTTCCTGTTGTGAACTTTACCATACTTCTTTATTGTGACTGCCTTTTGTTGCTAACTTGATTAATTTGACTAATTTGGTATATTTCTATTTCACAGAGTTTATTCATTTTAGTTCACTGGACAGCGTAATCTGTAAAGGCCACAGTGGTTTAATTTGTGTCTAAGAGAGAAAGAGAGCAATATGTTGCACATGTTGCCTGCAAATAAACAGTTTTCAATTCACAATACTTTCCCCATCTCTTAAATTTGAGCTGTGATATTAGAGGGTGACAGTCTGTTACATGAGTAATACCCTACCAACGCTGACAAAAAAAAATAAAAAGTCACTTTTAATGACACACGTAAAGCATAAAAGAAGTTTTTAATGCATCTGTATGTTGTCTTCAAATCTCAGTTATTGATTTCCTTAATTGCCAAAACTCATCTTTGGTGTCAGACCTGAAAAAAAAAACATATCAAGCAACCCCTCCTACATATACAATGTGGTTACAAATAATTCAATAAATAATGCTTTTAAATAATAAACCCTGTGATCAGTATCAGGAGGTTTTGCTTCCACAGATCGGCCCAAAAAGTCCTGATTGGAGCTCTCTAACATTAGAAGCCGTGTGATTTTCCTGCAGAATGACAAACTACGTAGGAACATATTCGAGCCTGGTCATCCGCTGGGAAAGTGACCACCTGCACATTTTGAATGTCCGCATGGCAACAAACAGTTAAACTCTGAAATCTCCAAGAAAACCTGGAATGTTTTCAATTAGTACAAATAATGAGGACTCTGGTGCATCCAAAAAACAGTAAGATAAAACAGGGAAAGTAGCACAAATATGTTGATTTAAAATTATGATGCCGATTACAGTAAAGGAGCTGGAGCGTGGTGAATTTTATTGTATCCCTCTGAAAATGTATGAACAGAAAAAATCATAACACAGGCCTTTCCATAATGGTGATGACTACATAACGCTCCAAAAAACGCTCAGCACATGCTGGAGACGCACTCCTCAGCTTTGCCATTCTATCCTAAATCTCCGCCCTGACAGTCGCCAAAAACACAAAGTCCTTGACTTAAGGTGCTGGCCAGTCATAACATAAACGAACACACTCCTTGCCTCTTAAATTTCCTATTTGGGTGCACTTAACTCTTGGCCTGAATTACAACTTGAAGCTCAGGAGCCAACATACAGCCAACCCCGGGTGAAATAGTGGTCAGAGGCCGCGTGGCTGTGTATATAAAATACAGCCTGTGTTTTAAGGCTCTTGGCGATTGATGTCTGATTGGTGTCCATAATGAGGTTGAGGTTTACACTGGGTTCATAGCAGAGCAATGAGATAACAGTTTGAGTGTCCTTCTTACCGATTACGGCACCTGAGAGGGCGAAGAGTAGCAGTTATTAATGGCAGGAGCTGACGTTAGGGATTTTCTGTTCAGATGTGGTGGTCAGTGACTGAGCCAAACGAATACTTTCTGCTACTTTCTCTGCACTTTGCTGTCTGACTTGATTTACCAGCGCCTATTTTCAGGTTTTATAAATGGGTCGCAAAGGATATAATTAGATTTTTTTTATAAAAATGTCCAGACTAAAAATGTAAAAATAAAAACAGAATATGTGCTGGTCTAATTTAAGTACAAGTATAAAACCCAACACAAACTCAAGGCTGCAACTGTATCCTTACGTTGCTGTAATTAATATCAAGAAAAAGCAAATCACTACTGACTGGATGAATAATAACTGTGGTCAGTAATAAATAAAGACAAAGTAATGATACTTCTGGTTGCCTCTGGAGATTTTCTTTCCAAGATGTAAACATTGGATCTCTCATAAGCTGGATCTCTGCAATACCTCAGTTAAAAAATAGAAAAAGAGCAAACCATTTTCAGGAAGAAATGAGAGATAAAATCTAGTAAACTACTTACCCTTTTTCCCGATTTGAACGTACTCGCTTTCAAACAAGTCTGCACAAGGATAAGAAGGAATGAACATGACAGATTCATCAGTAATGATCTGGTAGTGGCTTTGTTTTTCAAACTAATGTTATCTGTTTGATTTACAAGCACAGCAACGGTGGACACGATTCTATTTAAAGACCGAACACCAAACTGTAACAATGTCAATATCTGGACTTCACAGACATGTTGTTTGAGAAATCCCAGACAGCCATGTGGCACAACGGGGGAGCAAGGGCTGATATGAGGGCAGTGCGGTTTATAGACCATTAAACTCTTCTGTTCATTAGGTAAACACATTTGTCTGAGAGTATTTCTGACCGATAACTACTCGAGGTGGGTTTATATCTAGTATTAAAAAGGTTCTGAATGAGTAGTATATACAATGATCACACAAACTATTTATTTAATAGGATTAAAAAAGGCTCTCCAAAAGGTTATAAACTGTAAAAGGATTCTTAAGTTACCAAATGGCTAAACTAGTATCATAAATACACAAAGTTATTCTTTGCTGGAGTCAGAAAACAGGATCGACGTCACTCTCATGTTTATATAAAACATACAAAGGTACAAGCACCAACAATTTCCATTACTTTTTTTTATCATGGTTACCAAAAAGGCTCCAGGAAGTTACTGCACCGTGTCATTATATAGTTTTAATGGTGGAAGTTTTGTTCAGATTACACAAACAAGATATTCCATCTTATATTTTTAGGTGTTGTGGAGCATTTTCAACGTCAACATCACATTCATTTATTTGTAACGAGCCCAACTTGTGATCATACTTACCGTCTGATCAACTGTGCAGCTCTAGTATCGATCTTCTCAGCCTACTCTTTGTCAAATGAGTGAGTTTCTTTAACTGACATAATTCATGATGAAGTGTTTTTGCATTTTTTGTGAATACCTGGATGGATGTGTGCATGGTCGTCAATCCCCAGCTGCCCAGTGGTCAGATTCAGCTCGGAGTAGGCCCGTCTCTGAGAGGGTAACGCAAAAAACACCAAAACACACACACCGATTTTAAATGGAACTTTTCCTGGGTCCACTTAATAAAAAGCACAAAAAAGGAACCATAAAAGCAAAAAAACCCTACAGAATGAACATATAAATTAAATAATTTAATGGCAGTGTCTATGATTTAGCATATGTGAGCATGTATATATAAATTCGCATGCTTGTGCATACTAAAGCACACTTGTGTTTATTCAACCCAGAAAGAGAGGAAGGTCAATAATAGTCAGATATGATCAGTTGGAATAGTTATATGTGGGTCATCAGACAGGTCCTAAGCTTGTATTTGAAATTCACAAGAGAATGGACTGACATACTATTTGTTAAATAGCTGAATCCTCTTATATCCCTGTTCAATACCTGCAGACACATATTTCACAGCAAACTAGTCTGCTACACACATCCCTACCAGCTGTGGGATGTCTCTGACGTTGAGAGGGACCTGGATGAGACCCCAGTGGCTCCTGGTGCTGACGTCCTCGCTGCTGTCATGGTTGGGGTTCCGCAAACTAATTAAAACCTGGTCAGACAGCAATAAAGACGCATAATGGAGTTCTATTCTAGCTCTTCATTAATACAAATGCCAAACACCACAGTTGAGAACAAAAGTTTACACACACTTGTAAAGATCATTTATATCACAGTTTCCAATGAGGGAGGCTGCCGTGCAAGAAGGAAGCTCTTCCCTTTAGAAGCAGCACCTTCTGGGTCGACTGAAGTTTGCTGCTGATCACATGGACAAAGAAAAAGACCTCTGGAGGAAAGTTCTGTGATCAGATGACACAAAAATTAAGCTATTTAGACATAAGAACACCATATCTACCTAAAATTTTAATTTCTAAAATTTTCAACAATTTCCCTAAGGTTTACACCGAAGGGATCAATAAAGTTTTATTCTATTTTATTCTATTCTATTCTAAAATCATCAGCCAGAAGGTTAGATTGTGGACCCAGTCGGGTGTTCTAATAAGACAATGACCCCAAACACACATTAAAAGTGGTAAAGAAATGGCAACTAGAAGCAAGAGACATGTAGCCAAATGTTAGAATTGCTGTATGTATATTTTTGACCCAGCTGATGTTGTCATATTTCTGGAAGACCTGCAGTAATGCTATGAAAGAACCAAAACACATGACTGGTTTTGGTGATAAAAGTGGATTTGTTTGCATTGTTCCATCATAGAAAATTAGGAGTGACAGGATCATTGGACTCTAAATACTGCCAAGATATGAAAGGTCTTTACAAGTGTATGGAAACATATGTTTACAACTTTTTGTGCAGCAATTGATCTGCTTACCTCCAGAAAGTCTTTAGGCGCATAGACAGGCCTAAAGCGGCTTAAATCTGCAAAGATATGAACACATAAACAATCTTGGTGACACACTGATTAATAGTACTACTTCCACAGAAAAGTTTGCCACCTGACGCATGAACACAGTGTTTAAATATACAGTTTTCAGAACAGGTTTAACAGCTGCAAAATCTAGACTATACAAATGCATCCAGCCATGAAGCCAATTTCATCAACTTTCCTTTGAATGTTTTTTGCGCAACCAGAGTTGGCAGCGTTTCACAAAAGTCAAAGGGACAGTACAGAGCAGCTGCAGCCGGCTTTAAGTAGGACTTCCATCTACCGTCTTCATAGCACGTCTGTAAATTTAAAGTAGTGTGTCCTCGCCAGGACGAGGGCACATAGAGGCTTTGGACGGAAGGAGGGGTGCTGCTCGTTATCGTGGCTCCGTACAAGGAGTCTGGACAGCTTCTATATTCACAGTCCAAAGTGTTTACAGGCAGCAGACGGCACATCCTAAATGTTATTATACGCCGTTGAGCTGTGATAGCACTGTTAGGACATGAGATTAGCTTGTTCCTTGTAAACGTACTGCCATGAGGTGAAAATGGTTGGTTCATTGAGATCCAATAACAGAGAATTTCATAGTGAGTTATGAGATGCGTCTTCTGGAACTATGTGCTAACAAACACTATTTTTAACAATAAAAATACATTTGTTTTTCATGTTTGAGCTACAATCTGTGATTCCATATTGTTCTGTCTTATATATTATTCAGATGTTGCAGAGGTAAGCCTGGTCCCTAAGAGAGCCTTCCCTGGATAAATACAGCTTAAAAAGCAAACATGGGGCTGAGACCCTGAGATCTGGTTTAGGATGTGTTAAGCTGATGTTAAATACACCAGCGCCTAGACACATCAACACTAATCTTTCATAAAAGGCAGACTGCTCGGGGCCAAACCGCTGGGTAATGTCTCGAGACCTGGTTCATCTGTGCCCATCTCGTTCCATTTGTTGGTGAGCTCCTTCTGCTCCACTGCAGGCCTCTGTGGAGTGGGAGGAAAGAAACAATTTCAACAAACAAATGCCATACAGCCAGAAGGAAAACCGATCTTAAAAATGTCACATCGGAACTTGTGGTTCTTTAGTCATAAATACAATCGTGTGAGCGCAGAACCAAATGATAAAACTGATGCGCTGATTCCAAACAAAACAGTCTGGCTAGCATCCGTTTCAAAGTCATAGAATTGTTGCTAAACAGGGCTCAACCAGCTGTGTGCCAACGTGAGACTTGGCCACAGCTCAGAGCTTCAGTCAGCTGAGGGTTAAACTAACACAAGAACACTAACACATGGGAAAAATGCAGTATTATGAGGGCACTAGAATAAATATTGCAAGTGAGCCCAATTTATTATCTGTTGTAATTGTGCTACATTAGTTGTGATTGACAATATTTTAGTTACCATGCGAGCCAAAGGCACTCCAAGCTCTGTGCTCATGCTGTTCAGGCTTTTGAGGACACGCTTTTCCCAGCTGGCCTGTGTGAGAGAGCACACACACTCATTTGTCGTCATGTTACAAATAACTAAGGGATTAAAAAAAAAAAAAAGACAGGCTCTGAATTTGGCAAGCGACAAAGATAAGACTCAGAGAGGTAGAAGACGCACAAGTGAGGAGTGACGGAGATAAGAGCAGACAGACTGACCTGTGCCTTGCGCATGTAGGCCAGTGGCTCTTTGAGATGCTCTGGAGGAGCTGTGGGATGGCTCGGGGGCAGCTGGCTGGAATAAGCAAATGCAAGAGTGTGGGCGAGGTGCGTTACAGTACAATAACGGAAGGGCTGAAAAAGGAAATACATAAAAATGCCACTGTGTTTTTACTAAAAGACTGACAGCTTTGAGAAATTAAAGCCAATGAAGGCACAAACAACAGAAAAAAAGTGCTCAGAAGAAGGAAGCTGTCAAACAAAAAAGTTTTTGCAGTCAGCCACCAACGGTGCTCTACAAATAGATGAGTCAGAGTATATCTCTAGCAGATGCAGCAATTGTCTAATGTCTTTTTCCCACTAAGCATATTGGCGCATACTGAATGACTCAAAGTCCCGGTGCGTTAAACAGCATTCAACTTAATCTAAACACCTATAAGAGCACGTAGGGCTTGCTAACTGGCCATAGGAAGGAGGCAATAGTCGTAGTTATATGTCATCCTTTAAAAGCGAAGCATTAAGGGTCCTATGTTTCAGTCTGAGCTGAAAAGCGAGCAAGGAGGGTACGCTGCCATTAAAGATAATCGTGTGTAGTGCTCTGTTTAAAAGCTGTTTATTGAAGAACAAAGAGGTTTCCAATTGTTTAGCTGGAAAATTCTAATAAAGAGCTCAGCTACAAGAACACATAAATCCAGGTTATTGCAAAAGGCCTATCAGTGTTTTTGGAAAAAATAATAAAAGTAAACATGTGAAACCAATAATACTGACAGGGGAAAGGGACAGAACATTTGCTGCAGGGCAGGGCAACAAGTCCATGTGCATGTGTACATTTCTCTGTGTGTCTCTGAACAATGCGTAAAGCGTAAATACCTGGAACCACAATAATTCAGGAAGAAAATGATCTGTAATCCCGACACGTCGACACAAGCTGCACATTTAGCGAGTGTGTCTGAATCTTTGTCCTATTTGTCAGATACATCTCCCTGACTGGAAATAAGTGCTCTTATATGGAAATAATCAAGACGAAAACACTTGACATGTGACATCGCTGTATTTCTATCAGGTGGAATGTTTGTGTAGTAAAATGCATGCAGCTACACACAAGCGATCATACTTGACAATGTGGATAAATCAAATTTAACAATCACATTACGTGCATGTCAAGGTTATTTTAGTAGTTTCAAGCTATTTATTGGATACAGTTATGCATGTTTGGATCACCTGGTGGGCCTCATAGCTTCTTCACATTATTAAGTGAAATCTAATGTAATCCAATACAACAGCTCATATTTTAGAAAGACTGCATTGCCCAAAGTGGAAACACAATGTGGCAAAAGTGAATACACATGTGTTCATACAGGTCAGAACATCTGCTATCACTGAGGCAAATTTGAGTACACCTGTGATTAGCTTATTTGCATTCACATGGTTATAAAATGACACTACAGCTTCCTCAGTTTTGGACCTATGGGTTGTGTCTATCTGCATGTCTAAGGCTCTACGTGGAAAGCAACTGCCAACTGAGAAAAACTGGGGAAAGAAAACAATTGTGAGAGTTCACAAAGATGGAAAAGCATGCAGGAAGATTGATGGCCTACTAAAAATGAGCAAAATACCGTGGCAGCAGTAATCAGGAGGTATAGTACGAGCCATAATACCCGAGCCACAGCGCCCGTCCTCCTAACATGGCACCACAGACTGAACACTATTTGCACAAAGTAGCTCTGAAAAACAAGCAGGCCAGGGCTTTAGACTTGGCACAGGGTAATTAATGGAAATCAGGGTTTCTGTGACAGCTCAGATAGTGTGAAGGACATTGCGTCACATCAACCTATATGGACAGCATCCAAGGAAAAACAAGAAAAACAACCATGCTCGCTCTTTGGCAGAAAACTGCAAGCTTACATGCTTTGATCAGATGAAACCAAGGTACATTTGTTCAACTCAAACGGATTCCAGCATGTTTGGCGTGAACCAAAGTGATCGCATAGTCCTGGCAAATAAACACAGAGGCGGGAAAGTGGTGATATGAGGCTGCATGACTACAAAAGGTGTTGGGGAGATGTCATTCAGAGATGACACCATTAATGTTTGTGGATGGACCAAAATACTGGCTGACAAGATGAGTCCCAGTCTGAGGAAACTTGGCTGAAGAAGAATATTCCATTATAACAATCCAAAAAACACTAATAAAATCACACAGGAGTTTCTACAGAAGAAGAAAGTGACAACGATGACCTGGCCAAGTATGCCGCCTGACTTGAATCCAAAAGAACACTTCAGGGGTATTAAAAAGAGAAAGAAGAGCAACACAACACCTCCAGAAAAGAACAAAACATAGTCTCCAAAGAATGACAGAACATCTCTCCAGATATTTGCACCACATTGGTATCCTCCATGCTGAAAAGGCTCGAGTCTGTCATCAAAAATCAGGGTGGACATATGAAGTACTGACTTCTGTTGCACTGAGTTCTTACTGTTGAGTCTACATTTTTAATATAGTAAATCTGAAGTCTTAGGTGGGATTCATCCCACCACAAAGTGTCTGGATTGCATTATGTCAAGAAATCCATCCATCCATTATCTACACACCTCTTAATCCTCACTAGGGTCATGGGGGGCTGGAGTCTATCACAGATGACTCAGGGTGGAGGCAGGGGACACCTTGGACAGGTCACTAGTCTATCACAGGGCTACACTTAGAGACAGACAACCAAGCACACTCACATTCACACCTACGGACAATTTAGAATCACCAATTAACCTCAACATGTTTTTGGACTGTGTGGGAGGAAGCCGGAGAACCCGGAGAGAACCCACGCTGCACGGGGAGAACATGTAAACTCCACACAGAAAGATCCCGGGTGTCCTCATCGGGACGTGAACCGGTGACCTTCTTGCTGCGAGGCAACAGTGCTAACCACCAAGCCACCTTGCAGCCCACGTCGAGAAATATTCCTCGTATTTTTCCCCCTTCATGTATGTTAATGGGGTGGACAAAATATAAGGAACATTTTTAGGTGACCTGACTTAAATTGAGTGCAGTCAAGTACACCACCCACTATGACCTCAATAGTACACACAAAGTACAATAATCACCTTTCTGACAATGTCAACAAAAAGTGTAAATGTAGAAGCTACACAAACATAGAACGAATGGCAGAGCTGTTGTATTAGATTGTTTTAATACGACTGGTGTGCCTAATAGTTTGTGTCTGTGGTTTACAATATGTTCTGCATTTTTGTTGTTTTAGTGTTTAAAATGACAGGACAGAGCACTCGCTTATCGTTTAACATAAGTGTCACAAAAATGGAATCTTTAGGTTGGTTATTTGTTTTGTATGTTATTTTTGCAAATAAATTTTGTATTTACCCCCAAAAAAGGACTTTGTGATTACAAGTGTGATAGCAATATGGCAAAAAATATATTATTTTCCCCTGTCTATCAAATTAAACACCTGCCACTAATATAAGGGGACATTTAAACATTCTCCAAGCTTTATGAGTAATGCAAGTATGCAGGTTTCATCTGAGTGTCTCCTGAAAAACACAGGAATACATGTATAGTTACATTATAGAATACTTAGAATTTTCTGCATCATTTGCAGTATTAACTGATGTCATTTAGGTCTATTCAATAAGTGTGTCTGCTAATGCTAGATGTCACTTACATATGCAGTTCTCTGTACACTGCATTCTGTAGCTTTCTTTCCCAGCCTGAAAAACAATGACATATGTTGTTAGTACTCCATAAAAAGAAAAAGAAAAAGAAATAGAAAAAATGTAATTTTGCCATATTGGAAAGTGGGTTATTGCAGTGTGTGTGTGTGTGTGTGTGTAGCAGAAGCTAACACTGTGATGCCCACCTGACGTTTTGAGGAAGCTGCGTACGTCCTCTCTCAGAGACTCCAATTTTATCTCAGGTTGATGTAAACACTCCTAAAAACAGTTGGGAGAGGAAAGAAGTGACGTTGGACATTTAATAAGTTACTGTACCTAAGGGTAAACCAGTCGAGACATGTACCCGCTGAGGCACTTTGTGACTGCCAGCAGCCTGCTCCGCATCGTTAGCCACATGCTAACTTACTTTGGCTTGTCTCTCTATCTGAGAGTGTAAATGACTTCCTTTGAGCCGCTGGACGATGTGAGCGATGGTCAGAGACAACTCGGTGCCTTCGTCCATCCTGTCCGTCAAAGCTGCTTTGGTTCTGGCACGGCACGGTTCGGTTCGGTGTACTGTAGCTGCTCTGTCAGCATCCAGAGACGCAGCAGCAGCCGCCCCCCCGCAGAGGTTACTTAGCAACTGAGGACGGGCTGCGTGTGTGCGAGAGAAACGCGAAATGAGAAACAAGAGCGCCGATACTTTGGTTCCGACCCTAGAAACAGGTTCCGAGGGGATTTTAGAAGAATGTCAAGGGGTGGTAAATTTAGACTGTTTTCCCATATAAAATACTGCTTATGAATATTAATACAGTTGTAAATAATAATAATAATTTATCAAGTGTGAAACTCCAGCTCACGTGTACATGTGCTGCAGACTATGGACATATGTGGCTTTTCCTGATGATAAATGCACATTATGTGACCACATATGATTAGTTGTGTGTGAACCAATCTCACAATTTGTAATAAATGACATAATGACAAGTGTAAACATACATGAAAGCACAGCTAGCTTCAGCTTTGTTTTGCGGTACCTGTGCTTGACATGTCAGTTTGGCCAAATCAAGTTAAGGCCCCATCATCCATATAGCACATTTAAAACTGTTTAACAATTTATTTATTAACGTAAAGATACTACAATGTTATACAAATTTACGCAACTAATTCAAGGCTTATGCCCTCCATTATTATATACAAATAAAATGAACCTGACTAACTGAAGTGTTGAGATTTACTATATTACACACTCTGCCAGAACACCAGACTAAGTTAAGACCCTTCACAATTATACATGGAACACACAATGAATCCAAAGTTTCCTACGAGAAAGTGTATTGGCAACAGTGCAGAGGAAAACCTTTAACCTCCAGCAGAACCAGGTTTGGTGAAAGCACCCATCTGCCTAGACCAGTTAGGTTGAGGGTAGAAAAAAAAGTCAAGAGAAAACCTGAGAACTTATACATTGGAATGTACATTTCATGCTACATTTAAAAGTTCAATATTACACTGTTTACTACCAAACAATAAAGCAGTTCTACTAGCTTCATCTCAATTAACTTCCATCTTAAAAGCATAAGAGCTGATTACACTATAATGCACTGATATTGATCATGTATGTTGTATAATAATAGAGACTCCCTTAACATGGAAGATTTTACACAAAACTGCATTTTTACTTTTGATACTTTAAGAACATTTTGTCAATAATGCTTATACGAGTTGAATGCAGTTCATGTAATAAAGTCATTTTAAACTCTGTCAGGCTGTTGCTATCATGCTCAACATACTTTAAATGTGGATTGCTGTTTCACATGTTTCATGCCAGTTTTCATTTGATTGTAATTTGCATTTGCCAGCCACTTTGGCCTTTAAAAGTGCTCTATATAAATACATTTTAAGACTTCACTATAAAATGCCCATGTGATAAATCACGGTACAGGTACATGTGAATTCTGGACATGCATGACTTTCACTCGCTTTTTTAAAAATTTGTTTCCTTATTATTTCTTCCCAATTCGCTGCATCTTTATACTTGCAGAAACTGCACCGTCCAAAATACAACAAAGCCAGTTAACTGTTGTAACCTGTGTATTATTTGTCTGTAGTTTCCAATTAGTGTTTTGTACAGTAATAGGTCTCCTTTAACTGAACTAAATGGGGTCTGTTTTATTTTGTAATGTTTCACTGTGAAGTGAATTTATTTTTGTCATAAAAGGCCAAAGAGCTCCTGTGTTTGATCAGCCTTAAATAATAGCAGGTTACATCAGGGCTGAAAATATCACCAACTGCTTCTCCCACATGTGAGCACTTTTATTCCCCACAGGCTTTGTTTTTATATATATATTTTAAAAGGAGTTCAGCAAAAAATATTCAAGGTGATAATTATTACTTGGCTCTTTCAGTGGGTGAGACAACATTCGGAGCTGTTCTCAACATGTGACTGAGTCCAAAATATGGAAGCTGGCGTTGTTTGGGAGATAATGACAGGCTGTCTCCCCACCCATCAGAACAATTACAGCTCGAGTCAGTGAGCTCCCATATTGCTGCTGACATGTCCACATGAAATGCCACAGTCGGCAATATCATGGATGAAAGAGCCATAAGAACGTAGTCAACAGTAGGTGCATCTGAAACTCTGCTGGTTTTACATCAGTCATGAATGTTTTTTTGAATTTCTAGCTTTAATCTTCCAAATCCTGTAAGTGATCCGAGAAATAAGAGTTTTTGTGACATCAGTAAATATTCAAACCCTTCAGCATCTCTCTCTGTTACTGGCATGATTTACCATTTTGTGACTTAGAAGAAAAAACAATAAGGGAGGGGGGTCCTAAAGGCGGGCTGAGCTCTCAAGTATGCGACCCTTCCACATGCTGTCAGTAGCTGGAGACGCTGAGCTCCAGAGGAGCGCAGCGCGCCGCACCGAGAGCGCACGGCAACTTGCAGAGAACACTACTCTAGTTTTCCATCGCTTCTTTTTAAAATCATCTATGGACATTTAAAATTCTGCCAAATCTCATCCTTTGGAGCATTTTTATTTTCCTTAAATGAGCATGACGGTTGCTGTTCATTTGACTGATTTCACTTGAGGCTACAGGAGAGAAAGCGAAATGGAGACGTTTACAATACATGACATTCTCATAAATTCAACTGATCTGAACAAGATTTTGTGCAATTTTGGCATCAAGAATATTTCGGAGTGCGAGAACGAACCGGACCCGAACACACCCGAACCTAAAGGTACAGTGAATTTCATTGCTTTTTACTTTACAGTTATATATGATGGAACATCTTGCCCAAAAGTAGACAATTGTGTTTAAAAATCTGATTTTAAGTTTAGTCCAAATATATTGTCGGACTCCAGCTTGTGCCACTCGAGCGGCTGCTCTGGGCATTTTCCTTGCGTCAGTGCGCATTACGCATATGGCTCAGCTCCTCCATGAAGCTAATAGACTGCTGTTTGTTACTAGTGAGACATAATGTTGTCTCTGTAAACTAGTTCTGCATGTGTGAAGTGAACAGAACTGCTAATATAAACTTTACAGTCACAAAAAAAGAGCACTGTCAGGAGTTTGGTGCATTTTTGGCCATTAAACCAAAAAAGGATACAGCAGCAGAGGAACATCCAGTCAGTCTTCTGGCTGCAAGAGTTAAAAACGCACAGACTGAGCAACAATTTGCAGCATAGGAGCGACTATAGTATGAATACTGGAGAGATTGTTGATGATAGGATGTAAATGAATTAAAAAATATATAGAAACATTTTGTGAGATAGCAGGAAAGAAGGTGGAGATGAACTCAAAATCAGTTCCAGTTTTAAGAATGGCATTCACTTGTATGTATCCCTGTTTTTCATTCTCTCAGACATCAACCAGACTGTACGGATCGTCCTCTACAGCCTCATCTTCCTCCTCAGCGTCCTTGGCAACAGCCTCATCATCGCCGTCCTGGTGAGAAACCGACGCATGAGAACCGTCACCAACCTGTTCCTGCTGTCTCTGGCTGTCAGCGACCTGATGGTGTCCCTGGTCTGCATCCCCTTTACCCTCATCCCCAACCTCATGAGGGACTTCATCTTCGGCACCGGCATATGCAAGCTGGTCATGTACTTCATGGGTAAGTGGATGTATGAGATGGTTACGAATAAGCTCAGATCTGTAAATGATACACTTTTAGGACTGTTACAGCTCTTAAGAGTGATGACTTCTTCTTAAATTTCACATCACCTCACATTACAGGTTATTAAATATTACATGGAAACACCTTGAATTCAGGTTGTGAGTCAGAAATCTGATATTAGAACACACCAGACAGCAGCAGCAGGAGTTGAAATGTGCCAAAGTTGCACACAGATTTACCCATTTCCGTTTCCTCCTAATACTTTCCCCAAAATGATTCAACTCTCCATGTCTACATTGAGTTATGAATACATTTTTTAATACTCTGTGGGTAATTGCATTACAAATCGGAGACATCTGAGTCCATGCCCTGCCCAAGGTTCATTTCCCTGCATGTTCAAATCCTCCTGTTGGTTTAATGAGCTTGAGCTAAAACAGTCCCGTCCAAATGAAAACATGTTGTGAGAATGTGCATTTACCTGGAGGCTTATTTGCTGCAAAACTTCTCAACCTACACTGAACAAAAAAACAAAAATCAGTTCTCTTCTCTTACTGACAGAAAAATGTCAAAATCTGACAGAGTTCATTTCAGCCAAATGTGCACAAAAAGTTCTGTTCAAGTTCACACAAGTTCTTCATCTAGGAGGGTGAAGATCAGACAGCGTGACCACAGACGTTCCTCTGACCAGCGACTACAAAGGCCACCGTAAAATGCAGCTTTATTCAAATGGCACAACGTCACAGATGACATACGTCGGATGCTGGCATTTCACCATTTATCTGTCAGACAGCACGGTACAACACACAATTTGCCACATGACGCTGGGTGGGAGGACGTGTCTGACAAACTGATCCTGCCCTTTAAAGTGTCTGTCAACTTCACCGAGCCCTTCGAGACGAGACGACGCAAGTGTGTAGCGCATGACTGACTTGTGATTACACCGCTCTTAATGTGCGCTCATTATCACGTCCAATAAACCTGACTTTTAGGATATGAGTGGAAAAGGCAGGCATAATTAAACTTGTGATTTTTAAATGATGATGAAGGAGAAGATAAACCGCACAAATTGCCGCTGAGCATTTTTTTATACTGTACCTTAAAATGTGTTTTGAGGGGATCTTTATTCTACTGTACCTGAAAACAACCTTATTCAGCTGAATCACACATCTGAGACTAAAGTAGACTTTAAATCAATTGAGGTAAATCAATTGAAAATAGAACTGGAAGAATAAATGAATTTGTGTTGTTGGAAAGTTTAGGAAAAACGTGATTTACTTACCATCTTTTCTACCAGTTCCCTTTTAAAGGATCTCCAAATTACTTCACAGTCACCTGCAGAAACCACAGTTTACAGAAAAGTATATCAAATACAACAGTTTGTGAAGTTTCTTGAGGCTAAATGCAACATAAGTACTTGTTGTACTTGTCTTCCACTTTATTAAGGCATATTACAAACTGCACAGACTTTATTGCATTGTTTCATTTATATTAATTTAGGCATTTGGAATCTTTCATCCAGACAGCTTCGAAGGAGATGAGTCAATGCAATCAAGGATGTGAATCAGCTCCTCCGTGGCTTTAATTTGCTTGTGATTCTGACAAATTCCCCATGTTTCTTCTTGTACCTCTCAGAAAGCCTCTACTGGGAGCTTAGTAATAAGGTGCAGTCATTGCAGATGCTGCATCCAATACTAATATGTCATTTTCATCCAATTACGGGTCCGCTAGGAAATGCGATTTTCATTTTTCTCCTTTCTTCCTGTTGTTCCATTTAGATGCTCACTGAGATCAGAGCGCTGTCTTCCAAGATTATTGCTTCATTTGTCCTCCTGTTTATCTGTTTATGTGTCGTCGCTCTCAAATTGCACAAAACAATATTTTGAATGTATTTATAGATCTGATTCGTGTTATTGTGACGGAGTGTGTGAACGCTGACAGACCATGCAGGATGTGCTCTGTTGCTGCTCAGCAGTTAAAGTTAATGTGACAAAACATTAATGTGCCAACAGCATCACAAACATTACAGTAAACACAGCGACAGGTCGTGTTGATGTTAAGCATTCGGGGAGCTTCAAAGCACACAGGAGAGGAAAAAAAATCCAAAGATTAATGGTGAATAAAAGAAGAATAATACCAGTCAGGTGTCTTTCCATTCCATATGGAGCTACAGCACAGGAGCAGTTAGCTTAGCATGAAGAAAAACCAAGCAAGGCTTTGTCGAAATAGTCAAAAAAAAAAAGCTACTAGCACCATTAAAGCTCTACTAAAGCTAAAGCTACCACTAAAGCTGTTCATTTTTAATTAAATATAGGTTATCTTAAGTTAATGTACGCTAAGTCTGACTCACCAGTGGCTGCTAATTTTGGCTAGCTCTGTCCTCTCCTTCTGCTATCTGCTTGCTAATGTTGTCTAAATCGCCTTCACAGTGGAAAACAAAGCCAGCTACCAAGGATTAAAATCATGCAGTCCTGCTAGTTTTCATTTTATTTTTTGGTGAATTACACATTTTAACAGTGCTTGCCTCCCTGTCTGCAAATATATTACCAAACAATTCCAAAAATCCCACCTTTAGCTTAGTTTTACCCAAGATGGAGGCTTTTTTTCTCCCCTAGAGCAGAATGATAGTGAGGCACAAGTTAAGGTAAGTTAATAACTACAAAACTGGTTTTACACAAGATGGTGGAGCTAATTTTTTCCAATATAGGTATCAGTCTTTTTATCTAAGTGTTCCAAAATGGCAGAAATGCAATAGCAAGGTGGTGCTATTCTTATTTAGGCACAGTAACTATGAGGCAGCTGGTTAGCTTAGCTTAATCGCACATAAAACCACAATGGCTCATTTTCACAGTTTGGCTTTTGAAGGTATTGAACAAATGTGATGTAAAATGTTAATTACAAAACTTCAGACGTGTTTTTTTTTACCTGTGGACATGCCAGCTCTTTTCTCCTGTTTCTTCTCTTCATGTGAAGCTAAGCTAATCCTCTTCTGGCTATAGCTTCAGATTTACTTTGAAGACATGATCTGATCCTCCAGTTCAACCTGAATTTAACTTGAGGGGGCGTTCATGTTCATTTTTCCTGTCGGGAACTCGTTTTTACAACATCACGTGAATACATTTAGAACTCTCAGCAAGTACTCTGTCACATACATTTTTAACATGGACTCATCCTCCGATAGTTTCGTATAAAATAAACCTAAAAAACACACTCACTAAAAACTACTGCTGTACCTGAGTTGTTGTCAGAGTTACTGCTCATCAATAACTTTTCTAACTGAAGAATGGACAGCATGGTTACAGCTTAATGACATATTAGAAATAACAGAAGGCACAATAAATAAATTTGGCACCACTATTTAGAAGTCTCTTAATTTCAACCAAAAATTTACTTTTGTGCAGCATATGTCTGTGAATGCAACATCAACAGTTTGACAAGTCATGTACCAAAATCTTCGCTGACTCTCCTGGTTGTTCTTCAGACTTGAGGGAGCTTTCACAGGAATTTCCTCAGCTGAGAATTATGTTTTTCGATTATTATGACACCACATGAATGCACTATAACTCCCAGCAAGACAGCAGACTGCTCCTCTGAAGGAAAAAAATGCTTCGACACTTTCTGTACAAATACAAACATGTCATTCATGTTATATATCCCAGTATGATTCTAATGTTTCCCATTACCTGTTTTGCAGTATTTAGCATTAGTGTTTAATGAGTTTTAGCATTTACATTGAGAAACATTCTTCTTTTTTTGATTTTCTGCTTTGTGCAGGGGTCTCTGTAAGCGTCTCCACCTTCAACTTGGTGGCCATCTCCCTGGAGCGCTACAGTGCCATTTGCAACCCGCTGACCTCCAGGGCGTGGCAGACTAAATCCCACGCCGCTAAGGTCATCACTGCAACTTGGGTGGCTTCCTTCCTACTGATGCTGCCCTACCCCATTTCTAGCACCCTCAAGCCTTTCACCCGCCTCAACAACAGCACCGGCCACATGTGTCGGCTGGTGTGGCCCAACGACACCATCCAGCAGTCCTGGTGAGCTGAAAATGAATCCATCAGGGAGAGTCATACCTTAACGATGCCGCCGAGGTGTCTTCACACTCGCATGCTGAGACAGGATCGCAAAAAAACTAGCCCACTGCCAGTTTCAGAGGCCGCTTTATTGATTTTTTCAGCCTGGAGCTGCTGGTGAGAGACGACCTCTTGGGGAAAATCTGGAAAGACAGAGATAGAAAGCATACAATTTTTAGTTTAAAAACAGCACTAACCAACTGCTTCTACACACAGGTTCAAAGGTACAGTGCTAGAATAAAATTTAATGTCATTAAAGAAGGAAAACACCACAAAATAAACTATTGAAATATACATTAAAGGTCGAGGTTTGTAATATTCACGCAGCAATTTGGCTGTGGTGTTAATTTAAATGAGATACAATGAAAGTACAAATGCTGTCCCTTGCAGGTATGTGTCTCTGTTGCTGCTGCTCTTCCTGATCCCTGGGATCGTCATGATGACAGCCTATGGGCTGATCTCCTTGGAGCTCTACCGGGGCATCAGGTTTGAGCTGTCCAACAGGAAATCAAGCAGAGGTAAGAAAATTAGACACAGAAAGTGAACAAAAGCTACATTTTAATTTTAAAAGTAATAAAAAAAAATCAGTGATTTTTATCTCTCAGGACTTCCTGCTCTAGAAGTGCATCAGAAACTGTCGTTTTTAACATACGTTACAAAAACAGAAATTAAAAAGTGCTTTTCTTTGGGACTATTTTCAGCTGTGGGTTAAAACATATTTGATGCCACAGCAAGGATTTCCAGCTTGTAATAAACTGAAGTGTCTGTGGTAGTCGTATTGAAATAACAAAATTCACCGAACCCAATGCTGTGACTTACTGGTGCGTTTTTAATAGTGTTTGGACAAGTAGGAACAAACCACTCAGCCTCGGTTACACAGCACTTGTTAAAAGGATTCATTCACATTCATCAGACTCATCCAGACATCCTGATAAGTTAAATCTAATAAAATCCCTTTGAGATGCCTACCATTCCTGGGTCCTAAGCGACAGACGTGGCCCCAACTTTTAAACTCGTGCAGGCTTTGATGTTGCATTTGCACTCTTACACTGCAGTCTTTTCATGTTCTCTTCCCTGACAGACAGACAAGCCAGCACTGGCAGCATCAAGCCAGGTGACAGCGATGGCTGCTACTTGCAGCCGTCTAAAAAGAAGAGCATAACAGTCAATGCTGGCAACTTTCCCAACTCCAGCAGCAAGCCCATGATGGGGCGTGTGTGCAGCAGCAGCTCAACGTCCAACCTGATGGCCAAGAAGCGTGTGATCCGCATGCTCCTGGTCATAGTTTTTCTCTTTTTCCTGTGCTGGACCCCCGTCTTCGTGGTCAACGCGTGGCAGGCTTTCGATCGGCGCTCGGCCTACCGTCTGACCGGTGCTCCCATCTCCTTCATCCACCTGTTGTCCTACACCTCGGCCTGCGTCAACCCCATCATTTACTGCTTCATGAACAAGCGCTTTCGCCAGGGCATGCTGGCCACCTTCACCTGCTGCAGCTGCTTCAGGAGGAGCGGCGGAGGGAGCAGCGGTCTGGGGAGGTCATCTGGAAGCAGAATGACTAAAGGGGAAGTGTGCAGATCGAGATCAGGGCCAAAGATCCCTGAGCAGAATGGTCATACCCCGCCAAGTGCAGCCAGCACACACTTCACTTACACCGGCATCCGTGCATCAGCCTGGAGTGAGTTGACTTAAACTGGACTGATATGTCTGTGTGTGAAAGTACTGGCCTGAGTGCAAACATCTGAAGGGAATCTGTGGTGTGTTATCTTAACGTAGAGCCCTCACAGTGCTTATAGGACTAGTTTATGAGCAGCTATGTTGCTTTAGCTCAAGTGTGACATGACATGGGTACAACATACTGTCTGTGGAGCAGAACTGGTGTACTCTCACTGCTCTAACAGCGCATCAACACGGCCAGATGTTTCCTTAAAGCTTGCTGTGTCCAAATTGGCTGAATGATACCTGATCATATACGGCTCCAGGAGTCAGAAGTCAGACATAAAATGCTATATATGTAATTTTTAAAGTAGTATTCTACTTAAGAAACAATTAATATCCCATTTTCCATATCTAAACATGTCATACTACATATGTAGCTGTACAGCAACCAAAAAGTCTTTGAGAAACCACTGATTTCCAAGTTAACAATCAGCGCTAAAAGGTTAAAACGACACAAAGGACAAGCATCTTCTGACTTACCGCTCATGAAAACAGAGACGTCTGTCCCACCCAGTGTTTTAAATAATCTCAGTTCAAAGTCTTGTTGCTGGCTAATCTGCAGACGTGACTGACTTGTTTGTCCAGCCAAGGGCAAAGAAATAACTTTAAGGTCAATGTGACTTTAGTAGCTGGAAAAAAAACACAAAAATTTAAACAACTTCTGTCTCAGTTGTTTCAGTAGAAAAGTGTGATTTTGTCAAAGTTTCTTGAACATCTACAAAATAGACTCAACAAACTTACTTTGTCTCACCAGTCATTTCTGAAAGGTAGAAAAATGTGCTATGAGGCTTCTTGTGCTTTCTTGACTTGTATAATCCATCATATTGTTGATAATACAGTTTAAAGCACTGACTCTGAACAGTAGGGCAGACTTAAAGTAGTTTGACCAAGATTTTTTAATAGACTTTATATAAAAGATCAACGAAGCCACAGATGGGTTTGTGAACTGCTGTTTTGACATCTTGAATTTGTCACCATCTTGGTTTCTTGAAACTGCAAAGAGTGAATGAGGAGTAAACTGATCACAAACCTGAGGCTCATCTTAAACCCTGCTTTATTGTCTATTTTCCTCTAAAGACGACTGTAATTTACGAATGAACATCATGGTGTACTGAAGGAAACTTGACGCTAGTGATTGGGATGATAAACTTATTTGAAAAATATATACTGAGGTAACTTATCAAGTAGAGGTAGAGGCATTTCTTCCTAGACTTGTATCCAATCGGACTTCTTTTTGCAGCCAGAGGAGTCGCCCCCAGCTGATCATGTTTAGTCTGTACTCACCCAGAAATATAAAAAGTTATATCTGTTTGTGTACAAATGCTATTATTAAATGCTAAACTAACCGCCTCCTGACTACCTTCAGAAGCTATGTTAACAGTCGAGCAAGCCCTTTTCCCTCCCAACATGTCAGACTATTTGTTTACATTCAATGTGATGGATTATACAACTCAAACATTTGACTTCCTATTCAGAAATACTTGCAAAATATGGCAAACTGAAAGTCAAGAAAAACATACACTGTATATAAGAGGTGGACTATGAGCTCACCCATTGGTTGGTAGACTCCCACTTTAAAGCCTCAAGTTTGGAATTTGGGCGTCTCCATTTTTTTCAAACCTGACACGAACTTCCTTCATTGTCTATTTTATCTGAAATAAGACCATTATTTACTAAATGAGCATCATGCTGTGTTGAAGGATTCTTGAAACTAGTGTTTGAGACTCTAAACCAGGGGTGTGCAATCCTGGTCCTCGCGGGCCGCAATCCTGCATGTTTTAGATGTTTCCCTCTTCCAACACACCTGATTCAAATGATCAGCTCATCATCAAGCTCTGCAGAAGCCTGATAACGATCCTGATCATGTGAATCAGGTGTGTTGGAAGAGGGAAACATCTAAAACATGCTGGATAGGGGCTCTCGAGGACCAGGATTGGGCACCCCTCATCAGGAAAATGTTGACTGAGGTAGCAACTCAAGAGAGAAGTTGAGTCATGTTCTCATAGACTTCTATTCAATCAGACTTCTATTGCAAAAGAGGAGTCGCCTCCTGCAGACTAGGAGAATGAATGTAGGTGTACAGCTTTAAAGTGGTGTTGTTTTTTCATTTTCAGACCCAAAAGCTACATCCGTCTTTTCAATACATCCAAAAGCAGTAGCAACACTGACCATTTGTGATTTTTAAACACGTAGCCGCTAGCATCCCCTATGTACCAGAAATAATCTCACATTTGTAAACAGGCTATTATTTGTCACCTTCAGCAGCGACTGCCTGGTACGCTGCAGTGTAAACCTACTCAGTAGCTTCAAAACAAATTCCCCCACTGCACAAATAGTTCTGCTCACGTCCTTGACCCACTGTGTGTGTGTGTGTGTGTGTGTGTGTGTGTGTGTATGTGTGTGTGTGTGTGGTTACCTAAGGGGGTTGTACTGTGTGTACAATGGGAACTGGAGAGGCCTTATCAATATGTGGGACTCTAAACACCTGCAGCTCCTCTTCAAAGAGTGAATTCCTGGCATTACACACCTGATTTCCACGGATTCGTCCTGTCAAATATAGCAGCATCGATGTAGCAACTTATTTTGTGTCAATGTATCAGTATGTTGTGTAAATTCTTACTTTTAACTCGATGGAAAATGTTTTCAAGTGTTTTGTTCTGTTGCATGACAGTGTGCTCGGTTTTTGGGCACATAATTGAATGTATAAACATAATCCCAGTGATTTAACTGGTTTGTAATGTACGAATCTACAGCGAATCAACTAATGGCTGACCTTGATTGCCCAGTGTGCAGACCCGGGGGCAGGGGAGCTCGGAGCTTTTAACAGCTTTCAGTGGATGTAAAGAACTGAGGGAATCTGCTGGGACTTCTTCCCAGGGATAAGAGCTCCATTTGGGCTTGGTGGATGCCCCCAAAGCCCCAACCCGCCTTCACACTGCAGCTGCTGGGAAACGTTTAACTGTCACTGGAGGGGAGAAAAAGATAAAAAAAAAAAAACATGGCTGGGTTAAATCTTTACATAGAACCTCTTTTAGCTTAATTATTTGGAGTAAAAGTGTAAAAACATACTTGCTTGAGCTTCAGGTGACGATTAAAAACATACACAAACTGAGATTTTATATCACTTTTTTTTTTTTTATTTCTCATTTTTATGCCAATATTGCAAGTTTTTTTTTTCTCGTTTTTTTTTTTTCTTCTTTTAATGACATACAGATTTGAGCATGATCTGGAGCTGCAATATGTACAAAAACAAACTAATGTTATCAAAAAAACCGTCCCCTTTGTTTTGACGTTATTGCTAAATGTTACAAACGGCACAGGTTTCTACCATCAGCAACCCTTTGAGCACTGAGTATACTACCACAATGACACCTCTGCTTACCATTTACTAGAATAATACACAGATACAGTGAGAGAAGTGAAAGATAGTGGAAGGACATGACGAAGAAGAAGAAGAGGAGGAGGAGGAGGAGGAGAGGGGAAATGACAAAAAAAAAAACTGCAAAGCTAAGCATAACAGGCTGCATGTTAAAAAAAAAAAAAAAAAAAGGAAGGCGGGAAGAGGTGAGAAAACTCCAAATGTACATACAAAAAACATGAGTGAGGATGAAATGTGTGAGAGAAATAGAAAGGTTAGCGCTCTGTAGTGCAAACAGCCAAATAGTCTTAAGGAGAAGTAAGGCTGAGTGCGACAGAGAAGGGCTCCACACTCCTTTTTTTTTTTTATTTGTTTAAAGCTGCCTCTCACTCTGCCCTGTTTTGTTTAGCAGTGCATGAAAACTACATTATAAAAGACATTTGGCATATTAGAGGATACATACATTGTTCAGAGCTCATTATAAAAACAAACAAACACAAGAACAGCTGCTTTTGGAGGTGTAAAACAAACATGACCAGACACACGGAGAAAAAAAAAAAAAAGCAGTTAAGATATTTTGTCAAAGCATTAAAATGAGATGGTGTTTTTTTTTTCTCTCTCTCTCTGAAAGCTTTGTCGCCAGGTTAATACAGCGTGCATTTTGAGAAGGCATGTAACATTTTGCTTTTTTAAACCCCTTTATGACATTTCATCCCCTTTTATGAGTGAGGTGTTATCAAGTTATCGTGTATCCTCCCTATCCCTTAAAACTCCAGATGCTTTAAGAGAAAAATAAACTGTAAACCAGCTCGGATTGTCAAGGCGACACATTTTCTAAACGCATGCATCACCCCTTTTATTAGTTTGAGCGAATGTGACAAAGCTGCTCTGTTCAGACTCGCAGGAAGAGAAGAAGAGGAGCCATGGGTGGTTAGCCTAAAGAGGCGACTCGACATGTAAACAGAAACCCAAAAATATCCAAAGCTTGAGGGGCGGCGAAGGAGGGGTGGGTGATGCTAATGCAGAAGCTATGTTAAAAAGTCGCTGAATTTAGAGCTAGAAGACATATAGAAAAAACACTCAAGTTAAAAATCTACAGTTAAGATTTCGTGACCTCCATCCTGCAGAGTAAAGGGTTCAGGTTGACCTGCAGCTCGTCACAAGAGTTGAAGAATATTCGGTTTTTGATGCTACACTGCTGCTGCAGCACCTTCAACTCCTCCACGATTCCAGGGCAGACAGGAAGTGGCCTTTTTTTAAAAAATAAAACAAAACAAAACAAAAAAAAACTCCCAGGCCAACCCAGGCAGCACGGGCAATAATGCACTTTTCTTTTTTTTTTGTTGACATAAGACAAGGGGAAACTTTGTACCAATAATTTAAAAAATATCAATATTACAATATAAAACATTTAACATTAATGACAAACAGTTGGGCAAGAATGGCGAAATGGGAGCATAACTTAATAATTTTCTTTTTTACACCAAAGGGGTTGCAAGCGAATCCTTTTTTGTTCCTATTTCAAGGGTCTGTGTGTTAGAAAATGATGAAATACTTCATTAAGCAGACATTCAAGTTACAGTATCATTGTTCTTCCCGGAAGTGTATACAGTTGTACTGTAATATTAAGATCACAGGTATTGCCTTTGAATGTTTCTCCACAATTATCAGACATTTGGATTCTGGTGGAAGACAGAAAAACCCAATGAAAGCTGTTTTGTTTTTCTTGGAGAGGAGTTGGAACACTCTTTAAAATGGAGCGAGTCTGACTCATTATTCCATTACAGCGACTATATATGAAAGTCATACACACATACGTACACACACGCACACACACATTTGCTGGCTGGTGAACTAGTGCTCAGGCGGACAAAAATCATGAAATGACCTGTACAATATTGCTGTTATGTTTGGAAATGCACATATTCAATAATAGACATTTAGAAGGCCTTTATACTCCTACAGGAGACACGGTCGCCATGAAACATGTATGAGTGCAACTACTCGGACAGTGAGTTCACAATGTACACACAGTAAACCACAGGACAATTAAAAAAAAAAAGGAAGAAGAGGAAAAGAAGGCTGAAAAGAGCTTAAACCGCTCGTGAGACATTGTACCAAAAGTGAGAAGGTGCCGGGCACCGCATGAGAGTAAAACAACTGGGTTATTGTACTTGTACACCAAGAATGAAGGCTGAGAGATCCTTCTGGAAGGCTGCTTTGCATGAAAAGGTGGTTCCAGAGCCGCAGCAATGAGCTCAAAACAGCAGAGCTCCTGTGATAAGAAGCGAGGCATCAGCTTGCTTTGTGCTATGCACAGGTTCTTCCAAGGTGAGTAAACAGCAGATAAGAAAAAGGTGGATTTTTTTTTGTTGTTTTTTGTAATTGAAGTTTTCAGTAAGGCCACATCAAATTGAAAAGTGTCCATCTTTTTGGAAAACCACTGGAGATAAATGCCACCAGAACCACAGCACACACTGGAAGACACCTTGCTAGGTGCAGTTTTGAGACACTACATAGTTTGATACGTTAGCAGTGACCGATGGAGCGACAGATAGAGGATATTAGATATGTGACGGGTTTAACTGTGTATACAGTAAGAATATACAGTACTAAGGCTATCCTTTTAAGTCAATGACTACGCTTATTACATTAGTTTGAAAATGGCAAACTGACTTATTTTCGTAACCATGGAAGTCTAAGTTTTTTCACGTATTCTGCAAATGTTGCTATGGCTCCATGTGAGATGTACTGATGTGTATACGTTCCAGGAGACATAGCGCACATAGAGTATTGCAGGCAAGGCAGAGGCGTTGCTTAAAGCTTTTCTTTTTAAAGACTTCATAAAAACCAATGATAAAAAATAGGCCCTCTGAGGTTATTCCCCAATTAAAAATAATAGAAAAGAAAAAAAACGAAAAAAAAAAAAAAAAAACAACCTTCGCTTATGTAAATAAACAACCCAGACTTCAGATTTTCCCCAACAGAAAAGAAGAGTATCAAAACAAACAAACAAAAGAATCAATCCAAAGACTGAAAAGCAGGCGTTTGTAGTAAGGTCGCAATAACATACAGGTTGGGATTTTGGACCTCAAAGGGGGAAAACAAAGCCCAAGCTCAGAGGAAGAATAGAAACTATTTGGTAACAAAAGTGTACTATATGTTTAATACAAAAAAGGTATGGAGAAAAATGTACCTTTACTAAAGCTTATACAAGATCCTTGGTCCATAAAAACTATGTTATCATCACGTTTTATGTGTGTCCCTCTGCATCCTTGCGCTCCCTCCAACAACAATACATCCAAGCCCCTTTAGGATTCTGCAAATTAATGCAAAACAACACGCACACAAAAGGAATAATTATAAAACAAGTGGAGGGAGACTGGGGTCGGGGGAGGGGGGGAAAGCAGGGCGGCGCAAAAATATACTTTCCTTTCGAGACATTTTTTTTGTACACAGTGGATGTATTGTTGTTGTGGTTTCCATTCTCACAGCTGTAGAAAGGTGCTGGTGCTCTGAGCCTGCAGGAACTTCACTCATTCCAAACACCAGAACTGGACAGGCAGGTCCCTAAAGTAACCACAGGAGAGGGGGCACGTCAAGGAGCACTTCTGCTTATTTCCCGTCGGCTGACAACGTTGTGATGTCACTCCTTCAGATTTCCCCTGCGTTGGCTCCTTTGTCCCACCGATTTTTCCATTTCAGCTTCTTTGTATCCAAAATTTATACGCAGCACTTTAGAGTGAGTCAGTTTTTGTTTATTTCCTATAGTCTTTATATACCTTATGGTATATTTGCTCTCAAGGCATATTGTATTGAGTGGGCCCCTGTGTGCGTTAGGAGACCACAGCTGCGGCGGTGGAGGATGAGGATGTGACTCCTGCGTTGGAGGTGCTGTTGGGGCCATAGACGCCGGAGCCGGGCTCCTGGCTGCTGTTGCTGAGCAGGCTGGAATTTCCGGCCCGCAGGATGGCCCCAGCGGCGCTGCAGTGCGGCCTCGGGCCGGGCTCCGGCGTGTAGGTGAAGGTCAGTGTGGTGGAGTAGATGATGCCGTCGTTCCTTACCAGCGTGACGGGCACCTGGACAGGCTGCCGCACCCAGCGCCAGCCCTCACGGAAGGCGGAGATGTCGGGCACCACGCACAGCATGCTCTCCGCACACCTGCAGGGTGTTTGATGGAAAAGAGACACCACGAGACATATTGTTAGAATTTAGGCTCATAATATAAATCGTGTTATTTGTGTTTAAATCTGAGGAGCTTTTGGTCTGTTTTGTACATCAGGGTGTCACATCCAGACTCCTGCAGCAGCTCAACATTTAAATCTTGATGAGGTTCTTCATAAGAATTACAGCTAAAATAACCATCATCAATTATCAGATGGAGGCTTTGCTTCTTCTTTTTTGGCTCCTTTGTCTAATGTGCTAACAAATCAAATACTCCAAAGTCCAAAACTTAAATTACTGACATTTGCTAGAACATTCTGCACATTATTTGATGACATTACAAATCCATATTGATAAGTATATTGTATAAAGTACAGACTCATGTATGATAACAACACATCCTAACTAGAAGCCTGTCCTGTGAAATGTCCGTTAGTGGACGTGGCTACAAACATTAACTTGGCTCTGTCTGGGAGAGAGCAACATTAATAACGTCATGCGTCATGCTCGGTATAATTTCATGGTCTTATATCTATAAATATATATATTAGGATATATTACTTGACCATGTGTTTTGAGTGAGGCTCTGAATACAGTACTGTTATATTTCAACATATCACACATTTGGTCTTTATTCAAGCAATCAGAAATTCATAATTTGAACCTGTCACATACGATTATCATCATGGGAAACATTCGCACCTACATAAACATGTACATAATTATCAGGTTCACACAGACACACCTCACATTCCTCCTCACACAAACCTACATTTTTGCATGTTGAGTGATTTTGCAGCTTTATTTGATCTACTGGGCCTCATAAGCTGAGTTTCATATGTTGCATCTTCCATGTGTTGTGGGATTGTTCCTCTTTGGTACTGTGATACTTATTTTCAGTGATGCCAAGGATACCCAAAGTAATGACCTGTCATAGATACTGTACTTAGACTGTACTCACAATGGCTAACTCAGCTTGCTTGGGCTTGTTTAGCAATAGCTCATAATGTGAGCTTGATGCTGCTGAAAACATGACGTGGTATCGTTCAGACTGTTAACATACAGCCGTGTGTGTGTCTGTGTGTTAGCACGCTGTGTGCAACAACCTCTGTGGTTTTCCTAATAGTCTTTACACAATAAAAACACATGGAGGATGCTAAGCAGAAGAGACAGGCACAGTAGTAGCAGACCAACACACACTGAGCCACCTGCATCTGAAGCTTTTCAGAGAAACAAAAAATACGACAAAAACTCACATCGAAGTCTTGATAGGAAACTGGATGAGTGGGTTTTATAATACAGTAGTTTACTTAAAATGCTTGAGGATGACATTCCACAGTTTTTGTAATATTCACATTGTCGCTTATATTTCTGTTATTTCTTGTTTGTGTCAAATGAACATTGGTTTAGAAAAATGTTGACATAGAAATGTGGCTATTTATCACAATCTTTTTGGCACAAATAACCATCCATCCATCCATCCATCATCTATACACCACTTAATCCTCACTAGGGTCGCGGGGGGGGCTGGAGTCTATCTCAGCTGACTTAGGGTGAAGGCAGGGGACACCTGGATGTCCTCACCGGGATACGAACCCAGGGACCTTTTAACTGCGAGGCAACGTTGCTAACCACCGAGCCACCTTGCAGCCCAGCACAAATAACAGTTCTTCTAAATAACAGAAATATTCTTTTATGATCATTATTAAGGGAAAGCTTATAACAAGTTGTTTTCAAATTTAATATTAAAACAATCATTTCATTGGTTTATTTTTTACTGTGGTATGTACATCACAGAGTTTCAGTGGTGTTGGTGAAGACGACCAAATCACATAACCACAAGGTTATCATGCAAAAGCCCAAAATTATACCGAAGCAGAACAGAGAATCTTAGAAATACTATATACAACTGTGAAATGAGTGGACAAATCTAGTTAGACATGGGTGTAAACACCTCAGTAGGTTTGCAGTACTGTACTGAGGTAGGTAATTGGTCACTGTGTACTGTCATACTCTAGTTCCATATGTCCAACTTAATCTTGGTGGGTGGCAACAATAAAAGGAATCCCTCTATAAAATCAGCATGACAGAGGAGAAGCTAAGTAACATGGATTTTAGAAAAATACAACACTTTAGCATGTTTAGCCAATTCAAAACACAATAACCATTCCACTGCAGCTTTGATGGGCAAAGATGTGCTGCAACATGACTCATACAATTTACCATCAACTAAAACACTAAAGCAGATCGATGTTTATTTCTATTAAATTCTATTTATTATTAAATTGTGTTCTTCAGCAGGTGCAGTCTGAAGTCTGCCAGAAAGCTTTTTCAGTTCCAATTCATGTCACAATCATAGTCATTACATTTAAAACCTCATCATTTTGTGCGAGTCTAAGACCTGATAACTCCTCAAACCACTTGTAATGGTCTATATATCCCGTCTCTTCTGTTAAAAGGAAGAAAAGAGATGTTCAAGCCATAATGGATCTCATTTGCTTGGGAAATGGAATCTGGTAAATTATAGTGTGCATAAAAAGCAGAAGAGGTGAGAAAGAAACACAATACACTCCGATTAATTGACCCACACAAAGAAAAGGAAACAGCAGCAAACACCCACCTGTACATGGTTTCCGCCTCAACGTCTCCGAACCAGACCCGCAGATTTGGAGTGAAGTTCTGTCCTGTCAGCTCCAGCATGGCGACATCTCCACCACCGTTTAGCTGCAGGCAAAGAAGAGTACAATAAAAACACAAAACCTGCAGCAGCATTTAGTGAGGTAGTACAACAAAGCTGAAACCTCCCGCTGGAGTCTGTGTATCCAAAAAATGTCTCTTCTGTGTACCTGTAAGCTCTCTACCACAGGCACAGGGGTGACAGGCGAGTGGACAGGGCCCATGCCCTCGTAGAAAGTGTATTCGGCCTTGTCTGTGCTGATGATTGTCCAGGAGGCGCCGTCGTTGATCATCTCCTTGTTTGGTTCCTTTGGGCATGGAGTGGCCTAGCAGAAGAGGAAGAAACGGAGACATGAGGTGACCTGACTCACACATCTCCATACAGGAAACAGAAAAGATTGTTATGCCTGACGAAATCTGAGGGTGACGTGACCTCGACCATGAAACAACGTGTAGAAACAGCCGACATAAAAGTATCACTGACTTGAAACTGGATGATCCTTTCTTGGGAAAGGCACAGGTACATGCGTTCTGTGTCCTTCAAGTAGAAGGCACACTTGTGGAGCTGGGAGACTGGGTCGTCGGCGTCCAGCAGCGCCGTCTGCTTGTCCACCTTTCGGATGATCTGAAAAGCAAAGAGAGGAAACATTAGCCAACTGGAGGACAGATGGAATAATGGAGAAAAGGTGCAGAGAAGGATATAAAAACAGGACAGACAGAAAATTAAGGAAATTGCAGAAAACAAAGTAGAAATTGAGGAAATTGATAAAAAAAAAAATACTGTGATGTGAAATTAAATCAGAAGGAAATGATGGAAGGCAAAATTACAGGACACAAAATTGGTTGAAAAACAGAGGAGAAAAATGGGAGCAGAATATATATAAATACATATCACTAGCTCAAAACACGACTAACTATAAACAAACTAAGATCAACTGTGATTGAAAATGTCTGTTAGGTAGGAAAAAATGTGATCTTGACTGTTTGACAGTTTAGGAAACATATATGCTTTCTTGCAAAGAGGTAAAAGGAATCAAATGATTGGTGCCTTGTGGTGCTTTGGTTGTTTCATTTGTACAAAGTCTAAAATCACCCAAGTGCAGTTTAATGTAGACCAAGAAATAGAGCGACACTCAGTATATCCCCCAAAATGTCAAACTATTCCTTTAAAGAGTAACTTGCAAGGTGAATTTATGTATGTAAATGTTTTCTTTTTTCTGTCTGAAATGTTAAAGTATGATTTTATTTGTTTTCTGAGACATACAACTCAATAAAAACAGAAAAAGACGGCATTATGTCATATCACATACATTCGCGCACTGTGTAGTAGTAGGAAGTAGTGAGTCTGAGCAGCTGTAATCGGGCAACTTGGTCATTTTTGTGACTTAACCTTCACACACATTTATTCACTGAAGCCACCAACCTGCAAGCTGCTCTTTGACATAATAACCAATTTATTCACTGAACCCAAAATATTGAACTATTCCTCCACTATATTCTCCCAATTTGATTCTCTCAGTCAGTCGTCTTTGTATTTTCTTAGCTGCTGCCTCATGAATCAGTGTCCTGACTCAGCTTATTACAGTCTATATGCAAGTCCAATGATGTAACTGTTACCAGTCTGGGCAGCGCCATGCCAGTGACAGAGCAAACCAGCTTGACTGTCTGGCCGTAGTGGATGTAACCATCTCTCACAGTGAACTCTTCTCCTTCTGACTCCTCATCATCCACTGGAAAGACGAAAAAAAAACATCAGTGCTGCAACAAACGCCCAAGAGCCTCATTGCCTTTCAAACACTAGAACCCACTGTTATTCAGTCAGTCATTCCGTTTGTCTATAATGAATCAGCTGTGTGATTACTATCATTAAGCGTTGGGTTAAATTTACAATGAACAGAAAGAGAAACATATGATAAGAAAGTGACAAGCTGGGAAACCTCATCAAGTTTTTCTCACTCTTCTCAAACTGAGCTCCCACATGATTGAAGTTTTCCATTTTTGTACACTGGTTTTCTTACAGACATAAATTGTAATCTTGTTGACACTCACACAGGTGGATGTAAAAAGCACCCCACTGCTGGGAACTGGCGTGAAAGTTTCCGCCTTCCACGTGTAGATAACGTGTACTGACTGTTTGGGACCGCAGTCGGTTGAATAGTGCCACCTTGGTCCCCGATGCAATGCACACTGTGGACAGAGGTAAGAACATGCAAACACAGGAAGGTTACGCAATGACCCAAACATGGACACGCTGCTTACAGGTCAGCTGTGTTAAACGTGTGATATAACAGGGATGAAAGCAGACATGACACACGGCGGAAACCAAAGGGGTGCTTGTGTGCGACACAGGTGTGCTGCTGAAATAATCAATTTGTAGCTACACTGACCTCTAGTGGTTAGAAATAGTATTGATCATTATAAACTACACAGCTACTTTTAAAACGTACAAAGTGCTTTACACAATGAATAACGATCAAAATATTACTGCATTAAAACTGAATCTAATTAATACATGAGAACACAATAAAAAGCGACAGAAATTTAAAAAGGTAGTCAAGGCAAAGAAATGCAAAAGGTAAAATATTAAAATATCTGTACACAGCAGTTTCAAGGTGGACATAGTCAGTCAGGCTTTGACTCTTTTTTTGGGTCATAAAAAAAAAGGTGGACATTTATAGCCTAAAATTCAGAAAAACAACAGTTTTATATCTTTCAAAGGCCACACTCTTATTAGGGCTTGGAGTCTGTGCCCATATGTGTATCAAAATCGTGTTGCTTTTTTGCTCAAACGTTGGAGCGTTTAACTAAATATAATGTTTTTAACATACACCTGAACTCATTCTACTAGTTTAGGGAAGTCAATACGGTTAAAAAACATCAGTAAGGGTAGTTGTGTTTATCTTCTCGACCCAGAAAAAGAAAGTAGTTTACACAAACTGCTTATAAAACTTTGCTAACTCAGTGTTAAACGCATTACATTTCCTCTTATGTCTACACAATGTGTATGTCTACACAAAAATAGCATCCTGCAGTATTTCCAGTGTGAAGCAGCAAAAGCAGGAACATGTCAGCAACTTAATGTTTATACAAATAGCATTTGGCAGATTTAACACCTCTTTTTAGTCCCACAGCCCTTTCACTTCCTCTCCTCTCAGCTCCTGTGCTACAGATGCACAGGATACACTACAAAAGTGTTGTGTACATCAGTCAAATCCACTTGGTTCCGGCCTCATTTACAAAGGCAGGGCTGTGTAAATCTGATTATTTTTAGTGCATGCTCAGAACAGACAGCCAGCTGTGTATTTAGACATGATCACTGCATTTGACAAAAACTGTGTTGGATTGGAATCGCATATTCCACCTTTCACATAGTATTGATAATTCTGAAAACAATCAGTGAACTGCAAAATAAGCTAACTACTGAGAGCTACACATCCAGTGACTTGACAGATTTTTCTCCCATATCTAGCACAGTTTAGCGACTGAGAACAGGGAACAAAAAGGGCCTGTCCTGGCCCTGGTCGAATGTCTCTGGCTGTGAGTCTGCAGTGGAAATGCATGTCATCACAGCACAACACGGCTGGGTGTGTTTAGTACATACGAGCACAGCTATCACTAAGTTTGTTGCAGTAGCAGACTGTGTAAGAGATAAAGATAGATACACATGGGCTAAACAAGTAAAACATCTGTATGGGACTCAAATGTGTCAAACAGACTCACAGTCAGCATTTTTGAGGGACTGCTTCTTTTTGGAGGGCTTGGAGATGACTTTGATCCTCTTGCTGAGGAAGACACCGATGTCAGCGCTGTTGCCGTAGAACATCTTGACAGACAACATGAAGTGCTTTCTTTTGTCGGAGTCGGATATGTACAAGGTTTTGGCTGTGCAATAATTCTGGTGGTATGGATGGGGGGCAGGAGAAGAAACAGAAAGAGAATAAATCATTAGACACATTTTTTTTTAACTGCAATTGATTAAAACTGTAGAACTTTTCCAAAAAATGGTATAGCCACCAGTCAGGTGAGACAAGAACACAGTCCATATTCTGATTCAAAATGTGAATTTTACAGCAATTTAAATCACGATTTCCCTCAATATTTAATGCATCGTTGTCACCACTGTCAACACAAATCCTTCAAATGCACTAAGGCATATAAAAAGCTGAATGTAAATGACAGAGTGACATTACGTATGTGTGGGCAGGTGTTGTACCTTTCCCTCTAAGTTGAGCTGTTGCATTTCTTGGTCGCTGTTGCCGATGCCGATGAAGGCACAAGGCTGCGACTCCTGCTCAGAGCAGCCGTCTCGCTCCATCTGTTCCTTCTTTTTCTTCCAGCCACTGCCCATCAGGTACACACAGGGAGGAGGGCAGAAGAACCTGGACACAAGCACATATATGAATATTTTCTTGAAATTAAAATCCCAATACAACATGAAGGAAGAAATTATTTCACAATCATCAAAGTAGTTTTACATTTGTAGATACAGACGTGATGCCTGCCTGAATCATGAAACATTCCAGTCAGCTGTTACAAAGATGAAGCTGTTTATAGATGATTAGGTTAAAAACAAAATGAGGAGAGAGAGAGGAGGAGGCTGGTGGAAAGAGAGAGATCCTGACTTGAATGCGCAGGTGCAGGCAGGTAAATGTTGACTGAGCCAATGAAGAAGAAAAAACATTATATTCAATCACTATAGCTAATGCAGGGCTGATAAATAAAACAAATATTAATCACAATTAAATAACTGTAATATGGATGTTTAAAATGTTTTTAAAAAAACTTTTCCATTTAAGTAATGTACATGTTGACCACTTGGTTTCAACCTGGGTAAATCTGACATTAGAATGCCTTATTTCACTGTTTTCAAAGCATTTTCTGATCACACTGTCTTGTGTGCGCTGCAGTATCTGAGTGGGGGACTCGAGGCATTTCTAGCTAGCGTGTAACTTAGCCACTCATTCAGGAAGTGAGGAATTTCACCTGTGCTCAGTTTACAAGTGTGATATGCAAAAAGGTCAGGGAAAAGACTAAATTAATATATTCACAGTTCAAAGCATTTTACAAAAATCAAGCTTCAAGTTATTGTCAATCTTGACATCCATGCATACTGTGCTGTTTGGAGGCCACATCAGTACATGTGCTGAGAGAGCTGGTAGCGGAAGTGCTAACAGTAAAAATAAAGTTAGTCTAAAGCCTGCCATATCATACCGATTTAAGTCCAGTTACTTGGTTAATATTTTCTTTAAAGATGCACAAAAAGCTTGGTGAAAAAAATAAAACATATGAAATAATATTTTCAAACAGCATATGTTCAAAGACCCAACTACAACAGAGCAATTCAGTCAGAATGTGGGCAACTTAAAAACTGAAACCCTGTAATAATAGGAACCAAACGATGTGCATCTCCTCATTTACACCAGAAGAGGGCAGACCTGTACTGAGCTTCAACCACAGTCAAAAACCTGTATCAACGTGCTCTTTTGTACAATTGCTCAAACCCTCTATCTTGAGGCTGTCAAACTTAATCTAGCAGATGTTACCATGATCAGTCCAGCACAGAAATGATCTACTGAGGAAATATAAACCAGCACTTCAAATAAAAAGCAACTTTTCTTCCATTTTAGAGACTGCATACTTTTCCTGTTCTTCTCTCCAGAAATACCATTACTGATGTCAAGAAAAAAAAAACGTCATTACGAAAAAGTGACAAGTTCAGCTTTCGTCAAAAGAGAAATCAAGTCATTCCTGAACCAGCACACTTCAAATAAATTCATGTGCGTCAGTGTGGAACTGGAAAGCGACCTATTTCGCAACACCCGTGTCTGTCTCTGTGGGTGTTTGTCTACTTTCACCTCCTATAAAAAGCGCAGACAGAAAGAGGCAGCTACAAAGAGGGAGACAGCACATTAAAATTCTCCATGCACCCACTTTCTGGGGTTTCTTGGGCTCCCTTGTGACAATACAGAAAGAAGTAATCAGAGGTGTGAGACAGACACACTAAAAAACATGAACACAGGGTGTGCAGGCCAGAGGATTTAGAAACACTGACATGCACACATACCTGACTGTGTATCTCAATACAGTGATTGTGGCTGTGATACAGCAGAGACACCTTTGGGACTTGCTTAGCAGACTCATTCAGACATTTGTCAGTATTGAAGCTGGATGGTCTACTGGTTACTTAAGCTGTGATCTTAACTGAACAAATTCAGGCCCTGCACTGGCATGCCATTGAGCAACTCAGCAGCACAGACAGCTGATCCTATACAAGCACATGCGACAAGAGCGTTTGAATGGTTCCTCTTGCTGCCTGACTGGTGTCACTTTAACCGGACAAGACAGCTCAAAATTATCTGAGGAATTCATCTCAGTCTCAACCTCTTTCCCTCTCTTTCTCTCCTGTTGTGCTCCAACTCTCAGAGGTGTCTCAGAGTTGGCGTGCAACGGCTGATTTGCCAAGAGATAGGCCTGATGAGATCGCAAGCAGCGCTGCAGCTTGGCCAAGAAAACAAGCAGAGAATGGGGAGCTGAAGAGAGTTGCAAAATGAGCAAGAGATGGGGGGGGGTAGGAAAAAGCTATAAAAAAGTCTGAAAGTGAGAAGTAGAAAGGTGAGAGCAGAGTTACAGGAAGGGTTTGAGGAAGAAGAGACACGTTCAAGAGAGCAGAGCAAAAAAAAAAAAAAAAAAGTAGGTGTTGCGACAGCCAGTGATCACCCTTCACTCACACGACAAAGCAGGGTAAAAACAGGTTAGGTTGCCCCATGAACCTCTAAGACCCGTATGCTCTCGCTCTTGAAGTCATACATCCAAATACTGTTGTTCCACCAGGACGTTCCCCCTAAAGACTTTATTCTCCCTTATTCTCATAGCTCCTAACTCTCCTCTTCCTGCTCCCTGTCCTACCGGCTCTCTGCGGCCTTCACCTGAACACGGCCTCACGCAAAAGGTCACCACTCATTTCCTCCTCTGACCTCTGTCGATATGGGAGTTCAGGGAGGTCAAGATACCCACTCGACACAAAGGCAAGCTGGAATGGATGTTTTCTATCCACTCTTTAGCCTGATCCCCTTGAGTGATGTATGCTACCTGTCCATAAATCCTCGCCATAAAAGCGTTGACTTCTCAAAGGTGGACAAAGACTACAAGACAAGGCCAACTTATTATGTTGCTATGCTAGTTATGCACGACTCAATACGTGGTATGTTACAGTGGTCAAAATTTGATTGTAGCCTATTTATTTTCTTATGAGACTGAAATTGTGTTCTTGATGTAACTACTACCACATTGAACTATACCTGTACAAAACGATAACTTGTGTTTTTCTGTATTTCAGCTTTTGTGAGGGTTAAACAAACAACCTTTAACATGCTAACTGGAGAGCTTTCGAGGGGCTGGTGGGTCACATTGTGTTCAGACAAAGTCAAACTAGGCATGGTGCTCTGTTTATAGTCTCTATGCTAAGCTAATATAAGCATATATATATATATATATATACACACACACACACACACACATACATATATACAGCAATAAATGTAGCCAGGAGATGATACGAATTTCATTCGTAATGCTGCGAAGGGAGACAGAATTACCCTCTACATCGCTTATAGACAGCCAAAGTTTTGCTTCTTTCTCCTTCGTCATGCTGTTTTAGCCTTTGGCAAACAACTGGCTTTGTTTTAAGCTTCTTCTGTTTATTACAACTGTGTACGTAGTCTATAGCGCCACCTTCTGACAACACTACCCAGCCTACAATATTTACTCCAGAGAAGTTGATGTACAAGTCTAATTCACATTTGCGTTATTTTGTTGTTTTTTTTTCACAGTTCAAACATCCATCCATTATCTATACACCGCTTAATCCTCACTAGGGTCACGGCTGACTTAGGGCGAAGGCAGGGGACACCCTGGACAGGTCACCAGTCTATCACAGGGCTACACTTAGAGACAGACAACCAAGCACACTCACATTCACACCTACAGACAATTTAGAATCACCAATTAACCTCAACATGTTTTAGGACTGTGTGGGAGGAAGCCGGAGAACCCAGAGAGAACCCACACTGCACGAGGAGAACATGCAAACTCCACGCAGAAAGATCCTGGGTGTCCTCACCGGGATGCGAACCGGTGGCCTTCTTGCTGTGAAGCAACGATGCTAACCACCGAGCCACCTTGCAGCCCCAGTTCAAACATTTGCTTCATAATGGTATGAAAACACAACCTATGAATCTGTTAAATAGTCAGAGAGCTTCATGACGTATTTTTGTTATCCAAGGATTATCAAAGTCTGCAGAAACCTTCACAGATGGAGGGCACTAACAAAGAAGCTGCTGCTTATTTTCCACTCACCTTTTTTCATTGCCATAGGATTTCTGTGCAACTTTAGCGTGCAGGATCATAACAGTTTGGTCCCCTCGCTCCTTCAGATAATTCCTCATTGCTTCTCTGCAAGACAAAAAGAGGGGGGAGAAAAAAGAAAGACTCATTAAGAGGCTATTTTGTGATCTGGCAGATGAGGTGAAGTGATATTTGGTGTGACGACATAAAGCTGAAGCAGAGGGAGCTTCTGGGGTGGTGAAGGGGTCACCGAGGATTATCGAGCAGCTTTTAAAAGGCAATGCTTTAGCGTAGCTGGATGGAAAAAGAATAAAGGCGCGCGGAGTGTCAAGTATGGAATGAGAACATACAGAAACTCATACAGTATACTCGCAATGACCTCTGGAAAGCCTCAGAGCCTGCACAATCTGCTAGCCAAAAAGCTGTGTTCTCCCCCAGCTGGGTCCATTTGAGGGTGGGGGTGGGCTGAACTGTTAACGACCGGCTCAGAGGGACAGTGAGGAGCAAGGGAGAGGAACATGGGGGAGAAGAGAAGGGAGAGGGGGAGACGAAGATGCAGAGGGAAAGAATACGGATTGGGGCAGCGAGGTAAAAAAAAAAAGAGAGAAAAGGAAAAAGAAAACACCAGAGTTGAAAAAACAAAAACAACAGAGCTGAGCTCACTAGCAAAGATTCCTCATCTCGTTTCAAAATGTTGCAAGGTCCGAGCTCAAATTACTTCTGTCAACTTTGCCAAAATCTCCCATCTCCCCCTGCACCACCCCACCTTCTTTACATACACAAGCCTCAAATTATTTTGGTATTTCGGAGAACTCATGCAACACTGAGAAGCACAGAGGTGAAAGATCAGGCTTGGATGCACCATTAAGACACATCAGATGCGTGGATAGTAACACACCCCGACCCAAGCCGCACATACGCACAGATGTCAGTGACACCTGACACGCCGGGGCGCTCAGAGGGCTTCCCACTCAGACACATACAGCTTTCCACTCTGCCACGCAATACTGAGCCGCACGCTCGGGTTAGACAGGGCCTTTGTTATGAAAAGCAAGGGGCCCCTCACAGTGTAGCTGTGGGAGGGGGATACAGAAGACGAAGGACGGCTGAGAGCGATTGTGGTTTATATCCGCTTAATAATGGACTGGAAAGTGCTTTATTTCTTACTTCACGGTGTGATGAGACAATTATTTTAGCAATATTTCAGTCTCATGGCAATGCTAGATCGTGCTTTTTGTGTGTTCAGTATTTTCGAAATCACTGATTAACAGCCAATACAACTGAAACTGATAGAGGTGCAATCCAAGAGCTCCAAACATTTGATGCCATTTAACTGATCGGAAGCAGCCTGATACCATTTAAACACCACATGGAGAAAATTATATCAAGCCAGGAAAAAGGCCCTTACAACTCCAGCCAAACTCTGTCAAAAGCAGTGGTTTGATTGAAACTTTTTACTTATTTGCATGGATGTGCTTAAGATTTGACTGCATTAAAGGACGTAATCTACTCTGGTGAGTGAACAATGCTCTCACCAGCGTCATACACACAGACACACAGTTAACCCCAGGGAGACTCCTGTACTCACAGCTCTGATTGATTATATAGAGAACACACAGTCCAGACCTGCTGATGTCAGGCCTGCAGGGCACATGTCATGTCTCTGATGGTGACTGTGACCTGCTGCTCTTGCAGGAAAGATGACATCACAGATATGAAACACAGAGAGAGAGAGACACGCACACCTTCCTATACACAGCCGCTATCTGTGTCAATCACATCATGTTTTCCATCATCTCATTTACATTCAGTGAATGTGTCCCCCACTTGTGCTGAAAAGTGGATTAAGCTGCTGGTTGGGGCTGCAACTAACGATTATTTTCACTGTCAATAAATTTGTTCCGATAATTTTCACAATTCAAAGACACATTTTACTACCTTAAGAGTTAAGAAAAAAAAAAGGATTCAAATTTAAGAAACTAAAATCAATGAATTTCAACTTATTTTTTCCTTTAAAAATTTATTGGATCAATTCATTTAATAGTTGAAAAGTACTCAAATTATTGATTATTGTTGCAGCTCTACCACTGGTATGATGAAGATAATATTTTGCCAAGATTTACCTTTTGAATGAAGTCCAAAGCAAACACATACAATTATTTTCCACTCATAAACACTATGTAAAAACTATCTCACAATTTAAGAGTAAATAACTGTTTATGTATTAACAGCAGTGTCAAGTCTGTTCAACAACAAAAAAGGTACAAAAAGTGGATTTATAAGTCTACTAACAAGGTAAACTAACAATCACTCTCTAATGGCTTCTGGTATAAAACTAAACTTTCATTTCTTAGTTTTACTTGCAGGCAACCTAAAACACATTCCCAGTGGAATTAGCTTAAAGTAGCCAGTAATGACATGTGTGAGGTCATGGATAATCTTTGAGGATGTGTTCAGTGGTATAATCTCTGTGCTTTGTCAGTGGGGTTTGAGCTGAGGTTAACAACACTTTGCAATCAGCTCTTGTCATTTTGACAAAGGGAAGTAAAAGCAGCACATGAACGGAAAATGGAATTAGATCAGCCACAATCACGGTCACCCTTATAATTAGGGAAATAGCTTTATCAAATATTCGGCAACATTGCCACATAGTTATTTCATGACACCACAATCAAACGCTAGTGTTGGGTAGGTTACGTGCAACAGCCTTGGCTTGTGGTTAACACTCTTTCACCAAACCATTCCAGACCACTGTGGCTGGGTCGGGGAGAGACCATTCCCCATGAAGACTGAAATACTTGAGCATAAGATTAAGCCTTCACTCATTGTGGTTCTGTATGTACTGTCATCTGCAATGCCCTCTTTCACACTGACAGTCACTTCAGAGCTCCCTAAAATAACCCCTCAACAGATAGCAAAGATGCACCCACATGTGGCAACGATCACATGAAACACAATAGCCTATGATCAAATGAATAACACAAACCCATCTATACAAACTTGTGTTGTGTGGCCAAGCATTGTTTAAACCCACTGAATTTTATATTAAAATCTAGTGGGGTTGGGTTTCCCACTCGATTTTAATATGAAATTCTGTGTTTACCAAGATACCAAATGTGTCAGTCTAGATTCTGGGAAAAATGTGTGTAAAATAATGCACAAGAAATCTGCAGGGAGAATTCTGGCATCTTTGATTATGCTTTACACTTTAACAGACAAATAGTATCAGAGGGGGAAAACATATTTAATCAAGTATTCATTCAGCATGCAGAACGTGTGTCTAAATCGGGAACGTTTGCAATGAATGATATGAGGAACAGATATTACGACATTGCCTCTTGTGAGATATTTTTTTTTAAACATCAGGTCATTATTTATTGTGTAATTGATTCAAAACATGTGATGGATCATTACCACATGAGACACCACAAAAAATGAGCCCGATATGAGTAGCTTAAAATGCAAAACAGCTTTAAACAAGTATTTTTTATTTTTTTTTTAATTTAAATGACAAAGGTAGAACATTTGTCACGAGAACTGTGACTGTGAATATTTTTTTATTTTTAAATCCTATAAGAAAATAGCAGGACCTTTCTGTAGACAGCCTCTTGGCATTTCAAGTATCAGCATATCGAGTATTGTACATTGTCCAATCACATTAAACACAATAAAATCAATTTAAAAAAATAAAGAAAAGCCCATATTTGTGGTCAGTATGAAGGAGTTTGACATAAGCAATGCCAACCTTTTCAAGAAGACACAAGTAATGAAAGAGGGAAGCAGCACTCCAACAGTCTAATAAGCCTGCCACCAGTAGAAAATGTTGAAAAACTATGTGCTGTTGCATGTAAATAAGAATATTAATTTTCATTAGCAATGTGAACAGATTAATAGCAGGGTTTCTCCTGCACAGAAGAATTTTTGGCACCCCTCAAAAAGGTCTAAGCCAGCACCCAAGGAAACTCACACGCACCAAAAATAACAGGAGAACGCACACATTTTTGTCAAATAAGGTAAGAGAGACTCTTTGCCTTCTGTTTGCTGAGTGCTTACGCTTGCTGTCGTGCATAGTCACCACCCAAATATCCATTCGTAGCCAGGAAAGAATCCTAAATACTAATATTGTAGTTTTCAGAATATGGGTTAAGAAAAGGAATATTTTGTGCTGGTAAATCTACATAACACATCCACGTGGATGCGCGCAATAAAATTCAGACAAAATGACAAGAACTAGTCACAGTATAAGTGTGCGTCAATAAATATGTAACCACAGAACATTCATCTCCTAAGCATAAGTAGTCTTGCATGCGTTTGCCAGGCACATGACATACCACACAGTCACACCAGAGGTTTTTTGCACAATTAACAGTGACAGGCGACTGGAGACAGGAAATGGTTCCAGCAATAAGCAACAGTCAAAAATCTTTCAGGTCATTTCCAGGAGTGAAAATCAGACAATAATGAGAGTACTGTAGCCCGAAAGCTGCTTATAATTAATGACATGATATCTGTGAAGACGATACTGATGTAACACACCTAACAAACCCTCAGGACCAGGGGAAGGTACATAAACTAAAACTAAAAGGGATCTGTGATGCTTAACTAATAACAGCAACGTCTGAGTGATCACTCATCTCTTACACATAGTGAAAGGCAGGCGCACACACACACACACACCGACACACACACACACACACACACACAGAGTCAGTCTCTTCCTGCGTGCTTAAGACGGAAGGAGAAGTGAGAGCGACAGTGACCAGTGCACAGCTCAGCTTCCTGTGCAAGAGTAGCGTGCAGACACTCATCTGAAAAAATTCTTTGTGCAATTTAGCATGCAATAAAAAATGCAAGAGAGGCTAAATTAAAAACACTCCAAATCAAATACACTGAACGCAGAGGTAGAAATGAATACCCAACTTCTGCAGACAGAACGTACGGGTAGAGGGCATTTCAAGTTCAGGTGAACCAGACACACCCACATATGATATAACCGACAAGCAATGACAGCGCAGGCCTGCAAGAGGAGCTGAACCATCACAGCAGAAAAGCGAACAGCCACACAGAAAGAAAAAAGATATAGTGGCAGACAAGAATCAAGTGACAGAGGAACTTCATCTAAGCAGCGGGTTTAATTTTTGTTGGGCTGTATTTAGGTCGAGAAAATGTGCAAAAGGGCGTTCAGCAATTGCGAGCAAAGGAGAAGAAGAAGGAGTGTCAGAGGTGAGGAGTGAGGGAGGGACGAGAGATTGAGTGAGAGAGAAACAGATCAGATAAAAGGGAAATGCTTGAGATGTGAGACAAAAATGTGCCAGACAGATTTACAAAAAGAGACACAGATTCAACAACAGGCACTATGGGGGGTGTGCGTTTGTGTGAGCGTGTGTGTGAGGGGGGGTGCAGGGTTTAGCCAGGCTACAGATGCAGCGGAGCAGACAGGCATCTGTCCTGTACATCTGCCACAGCGTCTACAGCAGAGCGGGCCTGTCACAAGACCCCCTGTGAACACACACTCGAACACACACAAAGAGTGGAGGGGCATACTAATACACACGTGCACTGTGAAATAGCTCAATTAAGATGATCAGACTGCAATTAGCGTGCCCCCTTATGCATCACAAAAGGTAGATTACACACATTTGTCGTGTCAGGCTTGGGTTAAAACATTAACAGTCCACCACTTCAGGTTGCTTAGCCTCCTTTTAAACATATGCTCCATTTGAGAATCCAGGAGCGGCGACCTACAGACGAAACGCCTGCCTCAGTGCTTGATGTGTGACCTCCAGAAGATGCTTGTGAGCCTCGGAGATATGGAGAGAAAATTGCTTGAAACAACAGGATCTTGCAATAGCTTGCACTGAATCTTGGCGCTGATATTTTACTACCTCAGAACACTGTGAAAAGTAGCTAATAAATCTTGTCATTTTGACACTTGGGTGAGTTGTCTCACAGCCTGCAGCATCAACAATGAATGAGGTGGATAAAAACAAATTTATGTAATTCATATACAGTGAAGGCTGAATGGTACATTAAGCTGCTGTTGTGACGGAGAAACAAGGGATTTCACATGTGAATTAACCACAAATGTGTTATCCACTGTAAGTTAAAAAAATAAATAAATAAATACTATTTAAAAAATCCACTGAAAAACAAAAAAATAACACACCAGCATAACCCTTCACATTAAATAATAGCTGCAGCCAAAGCAATCGTTGTCAGGCCTTGATTTTGAGTTTGAATGTAAAAGTTTTTGACAAAAGAAGTAGATAAGTGAAAAGCAGTTTCTGTGAAGCTTTTCCATCTGCGGCGATGGATTCTGCAGAGCTGGCCCTTCGTCTTTTGTTTGGGAGAATTGGCCCTTGAAGGGGCGGCTCCCCCAGCAGAGGCAGCAGCTTATCCAGGCTGCATGCTCATGTGTCTGTTTGCGTGTAGATTTGTGTATCTGTCTGAATCTAAGATGTGCATGTGCATGCATGTGCACTCATTTCCAGTGTATGTGTGTCATGTATTGTATTTCCAGTTGAGTAGCCTTCCTGACAGTGCGGCCCTGCAGGACCTGGAGCTTTAGCTGCCCTAAAAAGCCCCTGCAGGATGCTGCACTATTTCAGCGGTTTATGTTGCTGCCCAACTAAATATCATGGAACTATAGCTGCTCAAAGGGGGACAAGTGGGTGTTCGTAAACCTGCAGACATGACGACACTGAGGCAGATTCATAGACAAACACAAAGAACAGAGCATGATGCTACACAGGGTTACAACCACACACACACACAAACACACTAAAGCAGTTCTGTTTTGTGCCTTTCGGCTGCTGGGCAAAGAGTGTTTCATGTCCGTCATGTTCCTGGCCATCAAAAACCATCAGACAAATCGAAGGGCCAGTGCAAGCCAGCGGACTGGCAGCACATGAATGAAGAGGGGGACACATCAAAAGGTGCTGGGGCCCCTTTTTCCAAAACCATGCTTGGCTGTTCCAGGCAATATGCAACCCCTCATTTTCCCCGCTGAGTGCCACGCGCAAAGAGCGAGCACATGCACAGACACAAAACACACAGGCAAACCCATGCTTGTTCCCAGTAACAAAGACAAACACCAAGAGGCAAACAAGTGCATACACATACACACCCATTTGGCCTCCAACTCGCATACACACAAGCCTCTATAAGAAAGCCACAACATCCATCAACGTTGTGTGTTCACCCAAATGCCACTCCAAATGACTTGGAACAAACTTAAGAAGAACAGAATAATCAAAAACTTGCAGCGCAGCTAGTCAAAGCTATTCTTTGATAAGGTGAAATATTACTTCTCTGGCTTGTTTCTCCAAAAACAACTGCAAAAAATTAGGTTTATTCAACACAAGCATATTAACACATGTCCCAAAGGACTTGACACGGCAGAGATCTAACTAATAAACTATCAATAGAAGAACAAAAATGAAGTAAAACAGCGAGGGCCAACAGATAACAGATGTCCGATACCAGCAGTATCCTCGATCCGGCCAGCGCATGCAACGCTGCTGTAACAAGAACAACAACTACAAGAGTAACATTTACCAGTGGTTACTATAGATGTATTTCTCATGTAATTTACATTGCCACTTTTAGAAATTACACAAAAAAATGAGGTATTTCAAGTCCTACAATAATAACGCTTATTTAAAAAAGGAGTTAAAAAGAGGATCAGAGAAAGAAAAATGATAATTATATAATTTTTGGTATTCATGTGAACTATATGTATTAAAGTATAAAAGGATTTTGAAGTATTTGACCGCAATGATATACAATTTTTTTTTGGTTGTGCTGTAAAAAAAATCTCATGCCAAATACTTGTGGAAGAGGCATGTCTTCTTCAGCAGTTTTTTCACAAACCTCTGTCTGCAGCACACACAAACACAGACATACAAATACCACGATGACAATAAAACAAGATCAACAAGGGAATACGTGTGTGCTCAAACTCACCGTGTTAGGCGCTGTGGCTGAGGGCGCTCCCCGAACTTCCTGCAAAGACAGAGTGAGAAGAAAACATGAGTGGGCTGGTTATCAACCACAAACACATACAGAGTAAACACTGCACTACAAAGTGGTGCATGTATACACAAACACACACACACACACTGTGGCCTTGACTGTGTGTAGTGGTAGTGTGCGCAAACAGAGGCAAGTGTCGTGATGTGTGTTTTTGTGCTTTTAATGGCAGCAGGCAGGTTAAAGCAGGTGCACACAAGGAACTTTACTCCAAGTAATTCCTATCGATGACATGTCAAAACAAGTTGTGCATTAATGGAAAAAAGCTCCCGGTTTCAGACTAACTAATCATTCACACGTCTTGCTACTATCAAATTTCAGAAACTCAAGTACAACAGCAGAAAAACCTACAGCTCCTAGACGGCCAGCACACATTTGAAACTCAGCAATGAGGCGTGGATCACTTGATGTTACAGTGACTTCAAAGTGTGCTCAGTGGATATGTACACATGCTTATCTTTGCTATCTAGGTTTTTACAATCAATAGCTTTAAGCACGTTGTCAACACGCCGGTGATGCAAACCGTACTTTTTTGACTACACAAAGCTAAATCCATTGAAGGCACAGCACTAATAAAAATGTAACTGATACTTCCATATTGTTTTCAAGCTTTATGTTTGCAGATCTGAATTTTTAAACGTGGAACCAGTGACATGGTGCAGAGGAGCTGCAGGCAAATTTCAGTTGGTCTGAGGCAGCATTTTGCATTTTGAAAACTAGACACGACAAGGTTAATTCTTCTGGATAATAAAAGGAAAAAATACTGGATGATTGTAATCACTTCGTTATTAATTTGAATTGAACAGTGGATGGTGTAAAATCTCACGTAACAGCAAGACTGATTAACGTAATGAGCAAATGATGTGGCGTGGGCCAAAATACAGGAAGAAAAAATGTCAATCACATTGACAGCGCACAATTATTCAAAGTTAAGTATTTAGAGGTGAAAACTTGTGGTAATAATATTTGCAGACAGGAACTTGGTGCTTTTCTCCCGACCATAAAGATATCTGTGTCTCTCCCAGAAATGAACAAAAGACATTTCAGAAACTAATGATTCAGCTGTTTTCTAAATAATCTGCAGCCTGTCCGTGGTGTACAACTACCCCCACATGACACACAGGAAACAGTTCAACTTTCCTCTAAGTATTTAAATCATGCTATTTGACAGTCAAAGTGTTTGCAATGCCGCGGGGTGCTGGACTGCTCGGAGGCCTCCCCAACACTCTAAATCTACAAAGAAGAAAAGCAAGGGGTGATATATGTCATGTAAACCTAAAACTGGGAGGATGACACACACATCGTGGCTCATTTTACTTTTCAAGCATTTCCATGATGTATTTTCCACTCAGTCTGATGTCGTGACATTTTTAGCTTTGCATCTTCATGATATTAGCTTTAGTAAACCATTCATTTCCATTATTAGAACAGTGCCATACACCTCCAAGCACTGTGAGGATTCTGCCCTAAATATGGAAAGTCAACTTCAAGTAAAATTGACTGAGTCACACCTGAAAACTCTTAGTCATACAGCGCATGCCGAAAACCAACTTCGAACACCAGCTTTACAGAAAAGGGCTTTAATCTAAAAACATCACAGCGGGGGATGACTATTTTATGGTAAAGTACTGACGTGTGGCGCTGGTTATAAGCAATAGATTTTGGCGAGAACTGTTTGAACATTTTCCTCAGCGCTAAAAGAGTAACGCCCATTAATTTGCAAAGATGTAAATAAAAAAAATCCATCAAAATGTAATTAAATAAACCTTGCAACAAAAACAGAAAAGCAGGGCCAAAGCACTTACAGCACCATATCAAAGAGAAGTCTGAAATTGTTTTTTTTTAATGCAAGTCATTGCCAATCAAAATGTATTTGAGTAATTTAATCAGTTTTATCCTTATAACATAACTGAATTTTAAACTATTCAGTTATGTGTTATAACAATGTGTAAATAAACAGAACTAAAGATGCATGCTGAAAACCAAACCTCAAAAAATGTCTGGCATATTTTCACTTACAAACCTCAGTGGAATATCAAGAGACACCTGAACCTAAACCAATGGATGGTCAAAAACAGTGGAGATAAGAAGTGTGTAAAGAACGTAAAAAACAAATAAATCAATAAAAGCAAAAACAACAAATTAGTGGTTATGATCTGCTTTCTACTGATTCTCTTTGATCTTTGGGTTTTAACAGGACATGCCCTATGCACCAAAAAATTTTAGTCTAATTAGGATCATTTAGTCAAATTACAGTTTTACAGCAATATGGCACACAGAGAGCTCTTACTGAAGTGTGAGTTCTACCTGCAAATCTTTGGCAGTGCGACACACACAAACACACACACGCTTGCCAGATTAAAGCCTGCAACTAGCATCATCCTAAAAGAGAACACAAAGGTGGAGCCAGAGCTCTAAGGCTGTCCGGTATGGTTTACAGCCCTCGTCTGCAGGCTTTGTGACGTCTCAGTAAATGATCACAATTTAAAATCAGATAGAAGCTGTGTAAAAAAAACTACGGGTGATTAACAACAGCAACAAAAAAAAAAAAAAAAAAGACACCTGTTCCATTTCTAGTAGTCTTACTTCAGAACATGTAGACTGCATTCTGTTCCAGTCACACAAGCAGGCTTTAAATTAAATTATGAATATTTACATTTCCAAATAAAAAAGGCTATAGACTCACAGTTTCTTGCTACTTTTTTTCTATTTAGTCAGTTTCAATTACGCTACATATTGTAATTCAGTCGATTGGAAACTTCCATGTTTGGTGCATAGAAAACAGCGTTTTGTTTTATTTATAGAAACTTGATTTTTATTCAAATCAGTACGCCAAGAATCAGGAACTACTCGATTCTAACTCACTTCCCACAGACCAAGGTCATGTCTTTAAACATCCTGTTTTGCCTGATTAACAGTCGATAATCCAAATGATTCAGTTCACCATCACGTGTGAAAACAAAAAGCATTAAATCCTCACATTTATAAAAGAAAAAAACATTTGGCATTTTTTCTAGAAAAGTAGACAGCTCAACGGCAAAACAGTCTAATTTTCTGTCAGACGGCTAATCAACTAATTTTTGCAGCTATAAATCAAAGTTTCCCAAAGATTCACGTCATCACCTATGTTTATCACATCTGTCTATTAAGGCACCAACACTGAGCTTCTGGCACATGGCTAGAGCAGGTACTGGTATGCAGCGTGAGAGGGTGACTGTACGGAGGGGTGTTGGAGTGTTTACGAGAAGGACACAGTGTGAGTGATTCAGCTTTTCTACTTGCGCTGGATGGGGTAGCTTTACATGCAAATGATGAGTATACCAATACATTTTTCATGCTATCAACAAACACAGAGATACTGTGTCACTCAACTGGTTAGGAGTTTTGCCAGCCAGGCACACTGTCAAGTTATTATAAAAAAGGCATGATATCACAAAAAGAGGGACAAAAATAGCAAAAACAGCAAGTGAGCGAGGCAAAGGGGGGGATAAAGGTCAGGAGAAAGAGAGAGAAACTGAAAGCATGATTGGTGCCAGAGCCAGAAGGAGGGAATGGAGGTGGAATAATTATAAAGGAGGGCAATCAATAAGGTTCCCACAGTGAAACAGTGATGCCTCAACTGGCTAATGGATTCCAGACGGCTCTCTTTTCTCTCCCCTCCTCCCGCTTCTAAACCTCAACCCAACCGCTGCAAACAGGGAGCGATGGAGGAAGGAATACTGCGGGGAAAGTGTAGGGTGAGATTAAAGGCGAGGCGAGGGAAGGAGTGGATGGTGCATTGTGGAAAGAGGGAGAATAAGATGCATGGAGAGATAAAACTTTAGGATTTAGAGGTATAAGCAGTGGGAGAAAGGGAAGGTGAAATGGTTGGAGATGGGGTGCAAGAAATCATGTTTGCACACGTAAAATGAGTTTCCCATGGCTGCATTTACTCACTTTTTAAAATAATCTATTTTTTTATTTTCTATTTTTACAGTAAACACCACTGAATTACATAACAGATGTGATTTCATATGTAGCTACAGTACGTACGCATCAAAATCCAGGTCACTAATCTCAACCATAATCAGGTACTTTAATGAGGTCATACGAAAACACTGTGGACGGCAAAAAAAGCTTCTCTGCGATGTATAGCAGCACAAAAAGAGCTGAAGGCAGTCAAATGTTAAAGAGATGGGTGAACAAGTTCTGTGAAAAACCACCGTCCACGTTTCCAATTACCTCAACAAACCGACTCGAGACACAAACACCAACAAGAAAAGACGACCAAGCACAGGAAACCACAACAGGTAGAGTTGCAAAGGCAAGGAAAGGCATGCTGACTGTTGCATGTGCAGTTTTTCTGGTAGGCTAGCCGATAATGAAATGTGACATTTCAAGGCAGTTCGTCAAAAGTACTGGTCTTAAAATCTTATGGCTTTTTTCTGACATAAATGTGGTGTCTGAATTACTTGGATTGTGATTAGTTTTACAAAAGTTTTGGCTCTTGTGGCTACGGTATATGCAGCCTGTTACAGATGCTCCTGCTTGTTTTGTAACTTTTATTTCCCGCCTTCTTTTAAAATTTTCCCCTTTATAATTGTTTGGATTATTGCTTGTGACTTTTCAGAGCTGTGCAATATACGGATAAGTTGACTGGGAGACTTCTGCTGTTCTTTTCATCATATTATTACCATTAATCATAGGAAGACACGCGTAGGAAGCAGATGGAGAGAACTCAAAAATATTTTTTTGTGCAGAATAACAAAAGGTGGCTCAATGTTCTATAGATATTCAACCACTTATTTTTCAAATTAGCTTCCATACTTGTTTTCTCGCTATGAAAAAAATGTTACTCCTCTTTCCCCCCCATTTCCACCTTAATAAACCCAATTTTTTCAAATAAAAACACCTCATTCAAACCTATCAGTGAGTTTTAGGGTTCAAGGGATTAACAGCAAATCCGCTATTCTTTATCGCCTATTTTTGTTGAT